GCGCTGTACCTTAGCTACCGCTTCCGGGTCAAGGTGATGTTACTCAAGCTGGACGTCGCTGAGGGCCTGCAGAGCCTGTGGCCATCGGTCAACACTCTTCTGCAGGCTTGCAACGGTGGGTTACGCAACGCACTATCACCTGCCACACAACACTTGGCACGCGTCTTTCATGAAGTGGTACCGATCCCATTGCTGTTACAGTAGACAGTCCTGGTGCGGTTCATTTTCCCAAGGCTTGGTTTGAGACAATACCGTAATCACCAGCGGGGTGAAAATGGCATTCAGTGAAAAACAGTTTGTGTGTTTTTCGACATGTGAGTGATTTTCATGTTGCTGCTTTGCTGTCCGGTGCTGTAGACGTGCGCGAGTGTGAAGAGCTACGCAAAGTCTTCCTCATCGTTCTGACCGTGGGAAACTTCCTCAACTCCGTACGTAGAAAAAGGGCACAATCGAGACACGAGAGTGAAACTGTGATCTTGCATTTCATTCCTTCAAGTAGACACATACATTCAATGTACTTACCCATGACTGGGACTCTTTAGCACACAATGCCTCGTTCAGCTACAGGTAAAACCCCTGTGTTCAGCAACCACTGCAATAGGAGACCCAGCACCTGTGCTAAGTGGCCGGTCATCTCACACACTTAGACCATGCCTTCACATACTAGTACTTTAGACCTGCAAAGAAAGACCACCTGTCAATAAAGACCGGTTTTCTGTGCACACATGGGTGGCCACTAGAAACTGTCCACTGTGTAAACTAACACGTCCTGTTACTCCACAACACCGCATTGTGCTCTTGATTGACACAACTAATTACTTGCACGTTCATCCCCACTAAGCTAATTGCGTAGAGGCCCTTCGTACATGCACCAGATGCACAGGGTGGAAATTCCCGGAATACCGAGAAACTGTGTCTGCTGTCTGCCCTGGATTTGAACATGTCATGAAACACATGGTTGAAGTACCCATGTGGTGCATGCATGGAATGTGACTATCAGTGATACGGTCCGTACCTCAGGCAGTGAAGTTAGCTGATCGATAATCATCAGTGTGCGTTGTTCATGTATCAATGGATAGGGCGGAAATGCAGGCAATGCGGCTGGCTTTCGTCTGGAGACGCTCCTCAAGCTGGACGACACGCGTGCAAACGCACCGCGTATGACACTGGTGCACTTCCTAGCAGAGGTGAGCCCTAGTGCATACGAGTACAGGCGTTGCTGGTACCGCACACGTGTGTGCCCTGGTCTACACAGCTACTTTGTGCAGACTGTGATGGGTTTCATGTGAGAATTGAGCGAATAGTATGCAGATCCTTAGAGTCTGTACTCTGCATCACTGGCAGAATAGGGCTGCAATTACGCAATGTTTGCCCAGTTTTCTCAATTATGCTCTCTTTCAGGCTTTTCCATCTAGTTTTCTATCCTCTCTCTCTCCGTCCGTCCGGCTGTCCATCCATCCATCCGTCCATCCATTCATCCATCTTTCGGTCTCTCCCTCTCTCTCTCCCGTTCTCTCGTTCTCTATCTCCTCCGCTACACTACACTCTTCTCTAGTTCATTGAACAGAAGCACCCGGAGTTGCTCGGACTGCCCCAGAAGCTAGGCATACTGGAAAAGGCAACGCGGTAAGTAGACAGGTGGCACTTCTTTGCTTCGACTAAGATACTGCTAGCATGGATGGGTGGTGTTGATGCTTTGACCGGAACACATACTGTGACATACTCATTAGCAGTGCCGCCAACCTTCCGTATTTGTACAGAAGATCACTCCTTCGTCCGCAGTCCGGAATTTGAGCAAAATTGTACATTCAAGACCTACCGCTGACAGTAATATCAAGAGACCATAACCCCGAGAGTGTGCAACTGGGGTCTGGCTGCAGTAGGCCCACTGCGCGGCAGAATTCCAACATTACGTCATGCCGCTGAGGCACACTGTACACAACTCTGCATTCCGCGGTGCTTGGAACCAGGGAGTAGTGCAAGCGCAACGAACGTGTCCATCATTTTTGACGTACTGTTGGAATTCCGCCCCGTGGATCCCCATGTACAGAGTTGCACACTCTTGGGGTTATGGACTCTTGGTAATATACTTGTCCATGTAGTAATATCTTGTCTGCACATGTTTGAGGGAAAGATGCGAATGGGAAAGGTAACCACCAGGACTCGAACCAGGGACCTTCGCTTGAGGCCAGCGATGCTCTGACCACTGAGCTATCTTGTCCTTGTCCCTGTCCCTTTCCTTTGTGTGTGTGTTTGTTCCCTGTGCACACACAGGCTATCAGTGAGCAATGTACAAAGTGAGTGCAGTGCACTCTCTAACCGACTCATGATGGCCCAGAAGAACATAGCGACCGTGTCGGATGACATCAAGGAACAGGCCAAGGACTATCTGGACGTAAGGTTACAGTTTCACCATATATAGGCATATAAGCTATAAAAGGAGGGATATTGGTACGCAGACTGTGGAAGGTGGTCCGTCTAAAACTGAAACTGTATTAGTATTCCTTGAAAACTAAGCTATAGTTTGAAGTCCGGGCAAGGAGCTGTACCCTGTAACAGTGTGTGTGTGTGTGGGCTGCGTTCCTGCCGTTACATTGCCATCATCATTCTTAACCCTTTCCGGGTTTATGACAAGTATACTCGTCATGCAGACCCCATCGCGTCTGGGCCATGACGAGTATACTCGCGCTATACTTTTTGTACAGTCCACGTACCGTACGCACTGATAGATCACTGTACAAACAGCGATAACTCTGGAGCGGATTATCGCATCGCGAAGATCTATAGCTCATTGGAACGGTCTTGGAAAGCGCTTTCCAGAGGTGTTTTCGGTGTGGCGATAGCTCAACAAATGATCGAGCGGTGATAAATTGAACGCGCGATTTCGATCTGAACATTTTTCTTACTTTCTGATTCAAGGGGATTTCCCAATGATGTGTGAAAGGCAGCATGACGTATGAGTACATCATTTGAATCGCTTGAATCTCACGAGCTCGATGCAGTTTGAATCGTAGTTCTACGTTGAGTATGAGCCCCGAACCGAAGGAAATAGTTGAGCGTGGTCTTGATGCCAAACTGGCGCACTGTAGCCTGGACACTGTTGGCGAGGCTAGGGGCCTCTTTGAGGTACTGTATGCTCTGAAAGTACGTGGAAGATGACGAGCAGGAAAGGAGCTTTCCAATAAGCCGAGTTGTGAAAATCCGTTGAGAAACAAAAATGTTGTGACAATTTGTTTGTTGCTATCTTGTACGCAACTCCAAGGAGCATGAAAACTGGTGTTATACGTGACCTCTAGAAGGTCCCCCTTTGGCCGTGTGTGTGTATTGGTGACCCATACGAGGTCCCCTTTTGGCGCTGTGTCCGTGCGGACCCCTTTGGCCGTGTGTGTATATTTGTGACCTATACGAGGTCCCCTTTTGGCGCTGTGTCCGTGCGGACCGCGCGTGCGGGCAGGTTGTGTAGAGGTCAAAGACAACACTGGCACGTCACACCTGGAAACCAGCCAAGTGAGCAAACCAGTCCTGATTACCCGCACTTATTGAAGTATTATTTTGAAGGCCATGAACAACGTAACAAGGTTTAGTGGTCACCTACACTTACTAGCTTTGCAAACAATAGGAGGACAGAGAAAGTGTTTTAATGCCGACAGAGAAAGTGTTTTTATGCCGACAGAGAAAGTGTTTTAATGCCGACAGAGAAAGTGTTTTAATGCCGACAGAGAAAGTGTTTTTATGCCGAGTTTCACGTACTAAGCGATCATCAGAAAACAGTAATGAGAAATCTGGCTTTGCTTGTGACCTAAAATCGTTCTTATCAATCGCACAGAAAGCAGTTGATGAAGTCGCCAGCGTCTCAGCGTCAATCAAGAAGCTGACGGACAAGAAAGACGAGCTGGCAGTGTACTTCCTGGAGACGCCCAAGGACTTCGATCTGGAAGGCACTTTCCAGGTGTTGCTCAAGTTTTGCAAACGACTTGCTGAGGCGGGACAGGTGAGCATAATAAAGATGATCCCCTTCTCCTTACACTGGATGCGTATGTAGGAGCATCGAATAGCATGCTTAGGATCTTACAAGGTCATAAACACCTGGCTGAAGAATTCAGCTTTGACTGAAAACGTGAGAGCAGAATTCTAAAAAAACATCACTGCTTTAGGCAACCCTCCTCACCTATCAACCTCCCAAGGCCTTCTGACCGACTGTAAAGTTAATTTCTAGATGTAGTTGTGATTTCGTAATTTCAGCCACACTTACTCCAGCCGGTACATATTCGTCGACAGCTGTCTGATTGCGCATCTGTTTGTGCATATGTTTGTGCAAATGACCGCACATTGTGTGCATGCACATGCGTGTTCGTGTATGTGTGTGCCGTCTGCTCGTATGTTTGTCTATCTGCATGCGCATGTTAATACGCATTACATAATTGTGTGTATGCGCTGTGCGTGTGTGTGTGTGTGTGTGTGTGTGTGTGTGCGAGTGTGTGCGTGTGTGTATGGGTGCGTGCGTGCGTGTGTGTGTGTGTGTGTGTGTGTGTGTGTGTGTGTGTGTGTGTGTGTGTGTATGTGCGTGTGTGCATGCATATGTGCGTGTCACGGACATTTCACGCGCTAAAGGAGAACGCAAAGCGACGCGAGCTGGAGGAGAGAACGCGCAGACGCAAACTCCAGCTGGAGGAGGAAGCCAAAAAGAAGGCCGAGAAGAAGGGCGCTGCCGGAGGAAGCAAGCAGCCAATGGGCTCTGCACCGCTGGTCGAGGGTGGCAACATACTTGATAACCTGATGGGAGAGATACGCGGTGGCTTCCAGCTGAAAACCGCGCGCCGCTCAGCAAGTGATGAATAATAGATCTCGAAGCACCAGTCAACCGTCAACCATCTCAGCAGCATACAGTACAGTACTGGCAGTCTCCGAAGAACGAACAGGCTGACTCAACTGTGCATGAAAATAAGAACGGTCAAGGCTACAAGGCTGATCCCCCCGTTCTTCGCCAACCGGCAGCATGATGACAGATAAGAAAGGCATGTTCAATAAATTGGTAATGTTGTAGAAAGGAAAATCTGAAGAAGTATAGCATGACAAATGAACTATGTAAGGAGCCAGGGAAATGAGGAAAATGTGTGCATGCATATCAGCCGAGATATATTTTACCGATCACATAATAAGAACATACAGAACGGCATTATCAAATCCTATATATCCTTCTTTTAAATTTGTTTGATACGTGTTTTGATTCAATTGACTCATCTTTCTTCTCCGTTATCATAAGTTACGAAATATGTTTGCGCTGGCGCCGTGAATAGTTCTGTCCTAAAGAAGGGAGAGGATATGCCTCAACTATTATTACTTCAAACCTACTTGCTAATGCTGTGTGTACACCACTTGAATGCTCAGTATAACTTATTCAACTTGACCTGCGATATACACGCAACCTTCAGATGTGTGTTGTGTGCGTGCAGCATATGGTATTTAGAAATTCATGTGTGCGGTAATAATAAATGCCCAGGTGGAAAACGAAATCCCTAAAACCAAAACCCTACCTACAGACAGTCATTATTAGTTTTATGCAGCAAGGACAGGGGGAGAGGAGAGAGAGAGAGAGGGGGGGGGGGGGGGGGGGGGGGAGAGAGAGAGAGGAGAGAGAGCAGGAAAAGCATGGACTGCAGTCTTCATCATCTCCTTGTTTTCTTTTTATCTTCAACTAGCCTCAGGAGGTCCCCAGAAGTTGTGGACACACTGCATATCCAAAACATGAAAGCACGATAGGACATTTTAAAAGACTCCTCAACAAGTGAATATGTTACCGGGGTATCTGTGTGACTCCTCAACAAGTGAATATGTTACCGGGGTATCTGTGTGACTCCTCAACAAGTGAATATGTTACCGGGGTATCTGTGTGACTCCTCAACAAGTGCATATGTTACCGGGGTATCTGTGTCACTGAAGGGAGTATGCTAAATCCAACAGTACTCGTACCCAGCACCCAAAATACTGTCGGTTTGGTATTAGAGAGGTTCCGGGGTACGATTTTCCGTGCCAAAATCCGTATGAGCGCTACGGATTTTTTCCAGGCGTGCTCCATACGATTTTTCGGCACGGAGAATCCGTGTGGACTGGCTTTCATACGAACCATGTTTCGTATGGAGATTTTGCGTCATCGGGTGCAGAAAGATTTTTCGCGTACAAATTTGGTACGAGAAACATCGATTTTTCGCGGGAAGTTTTGATTTCGGTACAAATTTTTAAAATAAAAAGACATAGCGCGGGAATGTGACGTGTTTGCGATCGTAACCTAGGCAATGACGGCAAACACATATCAGTTCCGTACCCCGGAACTTTTCACTGCTCGAAAACGACGTATAAAAAATCCGTAGAGCCTCCACGGATTTTGGCACGAAAAATCGTACTCCAGAACCTCCCTATTGTTTCGATGATGGAACTTAGAAGGCTTTGTTTAGCGGGAGAACGACCGAGATGCTGATCATGTCTAGAAAAGACTAAAAAAACGGTAAGAGCGAGCGGTAAAAATGCAAACCATGTCTACCAGTACTACTTTTCTTTATGGTACATTTACACCTGCCATCCATGCCATTATCCTTTGAGTTGTTGTGTACGTGTCGGTGGTATCATGATCACAAGCGTAGGTTGGCCACTCACTACAAAGCATATACTACACGGCATGTACTTGGAACATGTACCTGGAGCATCATCACTAGCATGTACAATAGGCCGTTGAAGTGCTTACGTCACGCTGCCTGAAAACTAGTAGTTACAAGGCCCAGTGGTGGCAAACAAAAACCGCGTCACTTGCACTCGTCGTGTTTCCAACGGTCACGGCATCACTTTGACTGGGGCTCGCTGGTGCAAGATCGCGACTTCAAATTTGGTTTTACTTAAAGAAGTTTCTCCTTCGCTCTCAAGCCATCGTGCAGTGTTTTTCCTGCTGAGTGTTCACCAGCACCTGAGAGATAGGAGTTCTGATTTCCGCTGGACAAGGAAACGAGCCCAGAGTTGGTTGGTCTCAGAACTAAAAGAAATCAGCAACCGCTGTGATAGAAATAACAGAGACACCCATCATTGCTTCTTGGCCGGCAACTACATGACTGTAAAGCCGAACGACAGTACAGGCACAGCAGTGGCCAAGCAAAAATCAGCTACGGCTTCTCCTTCTCCACAAAGCGAAAACTACAAACTCGGCGACAAGTAGCAGTTTATTTGAAATAAATAGTCTCGCACCCGTGCTTCTCAGTCAAAATGATGCTGTGGCTGTGTTCACTGCATGCTGCTGCCACTGGAAACACGACAAGTGCAGGTGATGCGACTTTTGTTTGTCACCACTTGGCCAAGTAACTACGCGTTGTCAAGAAGCTATGACGTCAGACTTCGACGGCCTATGATGTCATTCCTTTGCATGACCTCTAAAAGGGGGGGGGGGGGGCTCTGCAGCGCAGACTATTATTTTTAGTGTTGAAACGATCTCACCGGGTACCCGTTAGCTCGCTCGCCAGAAACTCGGCTCGTTTGTGAGGCCAGCTCATTTGCACTAACGAACACCGTACTACGTACACAAGGCAGGACACGTCGACCGGGAGTCGTAGAATATTTTATGACTCCCTGGTTGACCGAGAGTCCAGTCCCGCGCAAAGTGAAAATCACTCGCAGTTACAGTGACTGTGTACCTGCACGGCACTGAGTTGTTTCAGTTGTCGTTGCAGCTTTGGTGGACTCCACTGACGTCTTGTTCCGCATCTGCCGACCTGTCGCAGGACATGCTTCTGTCAACTCTCCATTCGAGTGCGAGTTACGCTCAGTCGTTTGGAAGTTTTCTCCCGGGATGCAGCGTAGAACAGGGCTACTTGCAATCTTTGAAATGGTCTATTCTTTCAAAGGCTGCTCAACGACGGCGCTGAAAAGACATCTCGACACCAAACAGCAGTCCGAAGTGAAGCAGCAGCAACCCCAAATGCCGGCGGTGATAATTTGAACCAGCTGGAAAAAATCGAACTTAGAGCTTGCTCGTTAGTGGGACTGATGGCTCGTTTGTTATAGATATGCTCGTTTCAACACCAATTATTTTGAATTTTGTACTGGGCACTTTGATCTGGTGAGTGTTTTCAAGGTTACCCTGCAACCACCTCTATAATACAAAGCTGGCGTTCTGCACGCCACAGGGTGTGGCAACACTACTCGAACACACATGTACCAGCCATAGAATACAGTGTTTCACGAAGAGGGGCTCTATCTAACCTTGTGACATAGTCTCCACCCTTGATGTCATAGATATGGTACAGGATGCCCAGGCGAATGCCAGATATACGCCGCTGCTCCAGCTCCTGCACAACCACATGGAAGCATAGCGCACAAAGCCAGAATTAGAACGTTTGACATTCATAGTCATTTCAACCGCTTCGGTGGTGGGTCGGATTTATTCACCTCCCACCGCTTTAGGAGCTGCATCTGCGCCTTGATCCTTGAGGGTGATGTTCCTACGAATGCGGACAACTCCGTCCAACTGAGTCTCACGTGAACCTTGAAATTCATTTTCTAATTTTTCTAATTTTTCTAATTCCTTTTCCATTCCCTTAACTAGTGAGTACCATTTCCAGAGGGGCACATATGCCAATGGACCCGGCATAACAAATAAATAACTTCTTATACCCGTACTGTCCATGAACGCATCTCGCACAGCCACACCGGGCTCCACAGTCAACATGTGCATGCGGCATATGGGGCACGGAGCATGTATCGGTGTACTTCATATTCACGCTGTTCCACAGCCAATGCACTCACCAATTGAAGTATTTCCTTGTGCCGCTGCTGCCGAATAGAACGTAAAATCAACTGACGACCTACACAAACACAAGCAACAAGGAACAGAGGTAATTCATGAATAAGATCATGCAGCCATCTTTCATCCTTGGCTTTACCAATTACAGTGATGATGCGGAACTCATCTCTTCGTTAATGAAGATGGCCAGGCTACAAAGGGCTTTGCCATAACTTAGAAACACACACACACACACACACACACACACACACACACACACACACACACACACACACACACACATACAAACATGCACACACACATACAAACATACACATGCACATGCACACACAAAAGTACATGTAAATCCACAACACGGAAAACATGTAGATGCTCGGACATGGAACAGAATGAAGAAACAAAAGGATTTGTCATGAGTACCTTTAGTGAGCGCCTTGACGAAGACACTTGCATTTGGTATGGCCAAGTACCATGCATTGACATTGCACATCACCAGCACGCCACTGCTCACTAGTAACCTGAATTTATAACACACACACACACGCACACACACACGCACGCACACACAGACACACACAGACACAGACAGGCAGACACACACACGCGCACATACGCACGCACACACACACGCACACACACACACACACACACACACACACACACACACACACACACACACACACACACACACACACACACACACACATACACACATACGCATCACAATGCAAGTATTCCACATTACAACTTACTTGAACTTAGGCTAAATTCAGGCTCAAAAATCGATTTCTTGATTATCCCACTAGTATCCAAGCTTCAGACCTGCAGCCCCACACATCAGGTCATGCTACGACAAGATCGGCCCTTGGCAAGTTATGACTTCGATGATGTATGGTGATGACTGCGGAATTCTTACTACTACATTATTATAGTAGTCATTGCTATTTTTAAATTATAATTTCCTTATGGGGCACACTCCACAGTGTCAAGTTAAGCACCAGGCAGAAACAAGCCTATTCTAAGAGAACCTGTGGAAAGAACCCCAGAGATTTTCAGAGCGCTTCTGGTTTCTGGCCAAAATACCTAAGCTTAATTTTGTGGCATAACACCAGCAACTGTCCAATACAGGACTGAACACCATGGTGCGGTACGGAGGCGGGGTGGAGCTGTTTTCAGCCAATCAGCGCCCGTTTAGCCATGGTCACAGGAGACGAGGCGAAATAAATCCCGCGCTGGATTCATATCCATGTAACTCCCGGTGTGTTGGTAAGGGCATGTTTGATTGGTGAATCCGGATTCAGATCAGATTCACTGGAGCAGTCAGAACAACAGTTCCCAATCAAACAGAAAACAGAACAAACAGATCATATTTTTGCCAGAAATATTGTAGAACTCATGATAGCTCACCATGCCGCGAACTTCAAAATTTCCACAGAGTTGATAGATTTTTTTACGTTCCTCAAGATGAAAAAATGTCATCGTAGATTTTACTACAGATTGTAGAGATTGTTGATTGTTGTTGTTAATCATTTGACGTGTCTACTTCTGGCTTGTGATTGATTGCAAGCATGGATCGTTTGCGACGCAGGAAAAGGAAGAAGAGGAGACAAGCTGCTGCGATTGTCTCGGCGGTTCTGTGTATTCTGCTGTCTAACGGAGGTGTACTAGCTGGTCGTTGTCCGCGACTTTTGAATGATCTAATTGATCTAGCAGTTTTTGATACATCTGCTGCTACGCTGCTGGCCGTGCAAGGGCGTCGTGAATACGTGCCAAGACAGCATGGTTACGGTGAAGTCATTATCCCCCAGCAAACAGACAGTGACTTCAGATCACATTTTCGTCTCTCACAACGTACTGTGGATATTGTTGTCGAAAAGCTCCAGGGTTCTCCACTTTTCTCAGTTACAGCAGACCATGGAGGGAGACCAGCAGTACCAGTTCGAAAGCAGATCCTGATAACCCTGTGGTGGCTGGGTTCAAAGAGCACGATACGCGAGGTGAGCGATAAAATGGGTCTCTCAAAATCGACAGTTTGGTTTGCTGCAAGGCGTGTGTGCCAAGCATTAACAGAACTAGCCCCACTTTTGATTTCTTGGCCGGAAGCTCAAGGAATTCTGGATACGGAAAGGAAATTCCATTCCCTTAAATCAATGCATGGCATTGTGGGCGCAATAGATGGTTCACATAATACCGATCAAGGCGCCGAAGGAGGCAAAGGACGTCTACCTGAACCGCAAGAAATTTTATTCAATGGTATTGCAAGCAGTATGCGACGCCAATCTCTTGTTTACAGACGTGTAAGTTGGCTGGCCGGGCTCTGTATGATGCGCGCGTCTTCAATAATTCTCCACTAAAGCAACATGCCCTCGATGATCAAGCCAAGTTTTTCCCCAATGAAACCTTCATCATTGGTGATTCGGCTTATCCGTTGCTTTCATGGCTACTGACTCCTTACCGTGACAATGGTCATCTGACTGAAGCTCAACGCCACCTCAACTTCAAGCACTCCGGCTCCAGGATGGTTATTGAGAAGGCGTTTGCGTTACTCAAAGGGCGTTGGCGGCAGCTGCAATACTTGAACACGTCAAACGTTGAAAATGCACCCAATGTTATCACCGCAGCATGTGTGCTGCACAACATGGCGATTATGGAACATGATAATGGGAACGACTTTCTTCTCGGTCTACCAGAGGAGCCTATACACAACGCACCACTCTTTCATGCAGCGGATTCATCAGGTGAGCACAAGGGAGACATGATCAAGAATTATCTGCTTGATTGACAAAGCTCATCAATTCTATTCTGTGCTGATATTCCTTTTTGGTTTGTCTTTCTCTTTGCACTCTCATATTGATTTTGGACCGGCGATATCATGCAGTAATCTTGCGTACATCAGGCTGTAGCAGATGCGCATCTCTGTCTCTCTCTCTCTCTTTGTCTCTCTCTCTCTCTCTCTCTCTCTCTCTCTTTCTCTCGTTCTCTCTCTCTCTCTCGTTCTCTCTCTCTCGTTCTCTCTCTCTCGTTCTCTCTCTCTTGTTCTCTCTCTCGTTCTCGTTCTCTCTCTCTCTCTCTCTCTCTCTCTCTCTCTCTCTCTCTCTCGTTCTCTCTCTCTCTCATCCGAAAACATTTCATCTCGGCGTGTGCGGCTTCGTAATCAGGGACAGGTTGAGAGAATGGGACCAACAGAAGCCACTCTTCCTCTCAGGATCTCCAGAATCCATGACGAAGGCGAAACAAACTACTTGAAGTTGAAAGGCAAACACAACTGGAGAAGATGCTTCGAAGCTTCGAAGACAAACACAAATTCAATAATGGAAGTGGAGACCTCCATGCACTTGACCACGTCATTTACAAAATCCCGAAACATGTCTGAATCGGTTCGAATCGAAACAAAAACTAAACTCATTGCGTAGCCCTGTCTGGTTTTCATTGGGCTTTGCAACTTGCTCTGGCTGCTCCAGCCTTGGGGGTCGGAGTGACCAGAACATGTTCCAAACACTCCAAAAGCAGTGCAGACCAATCAAACGCCCCTGTTCTGAACGATCCTGTTCCGGATCCGACCAATCGAATGAAATGCCCCTGTTCTGAACAATCCTGTTCCGGATCCGACCAATCAAACGCCCCTGTTCTGAACGATCCTGTTCCGGATCCGACCAATCAAACGCCCCTGTTCTGAACGATCCTGTTCCGGATCCGACCAATCAAATGCGCCCTAAGTCACACTGCTCCCACACCGTACTTGTACCCTGGCCGGGAATCCCTAGTCTCTGGCGTAGGGTACACCACTGGTACACACCACACAGTAGGTGCTACAAGGCCCAGGCCATGTACAATGTAGTACCTACTGCGTAGCCTACGGGCATCCATATTGCACTCTCGCAATTAAAAACCTGTCTTGAATAGTGCCCCTGTCGCGAAGAGCGAATAAAAAAGGCCCTCTCTTTCATAGTGCCCCAGGCTTGAAATCAAGCACTCATGCCAATTTGGTATTGCTTTGCTTGTGTTCCTGTCGCAGTTTCTGTTGAGCCATACTTCTCTTCCATTTGCCACCCCTTGATGTAGGCACCATAGTTTCAGGGTTATACGTAATTCCGTATACTGATGACAATACAATTGCACAAGCATTGAAATAATAATGCCCTCTCAGTCTCTTGAGCAGTGCCCTCTCGTGAGTAGTACTTCGGGACCCAAATCGTGCAAGTACGGTATTTGGGCATAAAAATAATGCACTCACGTCACATCACTCTCCGAGAACTCCAACCTTTCCTTCAGAAGCTCCTTGCTGACCGTCACATCGCCGTGAACACCTTCCAGCAGTGAGTCCACTAACTTGCCTGACAGCGAGAGAAATCAAAAACAAACCGGTGCACTTTGCATTAATAATGATACAGACAAGAGTAACAGTACAGTTACAGATCCTAGACAAATACAGTGTACCTTGCGTGCGGTACCGTTGTTACTTCAGAACTCTCCCTCCCTCTCTCTCCCTCCCTCCCTCTCCCTCTCCCTCTCTCTCTCTCACTCTCACTCTCTTTCTCCCTCCCTCCCTCCCTCCCTCCCTCTCTCTCTCTCTCTCTCTCTCTCTCTCACTCTCCCTCTCTTTCTCCCTCCCTCTCTTGGGGTAGATACAACACGTCGGCATACGCCTCTGACATGAGAAAATATGATACACTCTGACTAGCCACGTGACCTCTTAGTCTACAGCTACAAACATGATAAAAGGACACACACACGGCCATACCTATGTCAGATTCGGTGTCCGTCGACACGCAGCAGCCCTGCACATGTCGCTTGTAGTCACTCTGGAAGACGACCGCGTACTCATCGAGTCCCGTCGTCAAGTGGAACTGCTGAACAACACCTCGTTGAGACAAATCAACCTTCAGCAACAACAAAATAAGTGAGAAAGGAAGAGGTGAAGTTGAGAGCCGCTTCAGAGGAAGACCTGATGTCCAGGTGCAAAGAAGCTGCTATTGGTTGCAAGCTTGGAGCTTATTCTACAGCATACTGGGTACATGTAGGCATGCACATTACTGTCTGCAATACAGGTAGCACACCAGTATACAAATAAAACCTAAGAAAAGAAAAAGCTTCAGGCTCCTCACAATCAACATCCTCAATTACTAGTAACTCTTCCACTAGTGCCCTTCTCATCAGGTGAAACACAGTCAGAAAGAAGCTGACCAAGCACTGCACAATGATATATAAACAGTAGTGATGTGATAACAACAGCACAAGCAAGAGTAGCTAAAAACAACACGGTGAAACGCATAACCTCCTACACACAGGAGGAATGGCAAAGAGGTGCCAGTGCGAAGAAACCAAGCAAAGAGTGTAATGTACTGCGACAACAATAGACTACCAAGGTACAGAAGTAACAAGCTGTTGACGACCGGCCAAACAGCCCAAGTGTGAAATTGTTTCATTTTTTGTCATTCCTTTATATGCGTGAGAGTCAGATTATGCATTTTAGGGTGTTGTTTTTAGCTACTCTTCTTTGAGCCGTTGTTATCACACCACTACTGTACTGTATACAAGTCATTGTGCAGTCCTTGGTCAGTTCCTTTTTGCCTGTACTCCATCTGATGAGAAGGCAGTGAAAGTACTGGTGGTGACAGTCAAATTTTTCTTCAGACTTTTCCCTTTTCCATTCCCTCAACCAGTGAACATGAATGGCTTGACTAATCAATAAGGCCGGGAGAAAGCGGGAAAACTGCACGGCAGTACGTACCAGCTGTCGATCGACCAGCGTCCTGTCGTTGACCACGGCGTAGAGCTGGTGCTTCAGAGCCAGTGGTGGCATGGCACCGCCTAGAACACCGGCTGACGGGAATCTGGCCGAGACTAGCTGAATGGCCGCCTCGGTTTCGCTCGGTACAGCCGCCAGTAAGTCGGCATCATCTGCAGGAGAAATAAACACAGTAACATGCACAGCACAGGGTTAGAGGTTTGGACTATGACGAGAGAGCTTGGAAGCTCAGGGCCCTACGCTATGCTTTGTTGCCTAGCTCATCGTGCATGTTGTTAGAACTGATGGAAATGGTTTTTTTCCTTTGATTAGCTACATCATTGTATTGCAAAAACGTTTCAATGAGTTACTGAAGTAACGTCTTCTGCATAGCTACGGGACCGGCGCTGACTCTGCCGATCACGGGCGTTCTGGAGTCGACGGGATGTCTGTGCTGACGTTTCCTGGGACCGGCGCTGACTCTGCCGATCACTGGCGTTCTGGAGTCGACGGGATGTCTGTCCTGACGTTTCCTGGGACTGGCGCTGACTCTGCCGATCACGGGCGTTCTGGAGTCGACGGGATCTCTCTTCCGACGTTTCCTGTGACCAGCGCTGACTCGCCCGTTCACGCTTATTTTGGAGATGACGGGATCTCTCTTCCAAAGTACGTTTTTGCTGACGCATCCTATCACCTATTCGGCAACTAACGTCCATTCCAATTGCATTTCCTCGTCTCCCTATTTCTTTCCAGAAAATCTCCCTATACATCAGGGAGTCGTATACATAATACGACGAATATTGTGGCCAGCTGTTTGTGGCCAGCTGTATTTGATGGTACGGTACGGGACAGATACGGGATAGCGCCAGCAAATATTGTGGCCAGCTGTTTGTGACCAGCTGTGTTTGCTGGTACGGTACGGGACAGATACGGGATAGCGAAGGCGTGACACAAACAAACAAACAAATAAATAAACACCAAATTAAAGCTGTGTGGACCCTGGCTAGCGCCAGACGTTACTGAAGTAAGTTGAAGTAACGTCTCCTGCATAGCTACGGGAATTAAAGCACCAGTAATGGAACATGATTCCATGATGTCATGTCGGCATCTATCCGCATAGATGGTACTCTGTTGGACCCCAAATCCGTTGGAACTGGCTTACGCCAAGGTTGTACTATGGCGCCGGTATTATTCAATCTATACATGGGCGCTGTTGTCGATAGGTGGCATGTTATGATTGCGGATGGTGACGAGATCGGGATTGACATTTCCCAATACCGAGTGAATCGTTTATTCAACACAAGGCTAAGGGATCTCACCCGGGTTCGAATTACTGAGTGCCAATTTGCCGATGACTCGGCGCTGCTTGCCAACATGTATGCTGGAGCTGAATGGGCTCTCTCTCTCTCTCTCTCTCTCTGCCTTCCAGACAGTCGCGAGCGTGTTTGGCTTGACCGTCAACATAGCAAAGACTAAGTACATGCCTGCCGGGAGTGGAGTATTACCACCAGACAGAGCTCCTTTAGATGGCACAGTAGAGTGTGTAGATGCCTTCCGCTACCTGGGATGCCAGGTTACGCCCGATGCTCGCAGCACATTCGATGTATCGCGGCGAGTCGCTGCTGCCTTGGGTGCATTTTCAGCTTGAAAGAGACCATTTTCTGCAATGATGATTTCCACATCGGTGCAAAACGAGTGGTATATGGCGTCACGGTCCTTGCTATCCTGCTCTATGGCTCAGAGAATTGGACACTGAGACAGAGGGACGTACGGAAGCTCGAGTCATGTCACCTGCAATGTATAAGGTCAATGCCTTATCGGTGGATCGGGGATGGCAGATCAGCAACCGAATCTCTTCCCTCCAGGTTCATCGCATGTGGGGTGGTGACCATGAGCGTGTCGTCGATAAGGTTCAGAGGCGCCGGCTCCGGTGGCTGGGACACGTTGCTCGGATGGGGAATCGCATTCCGCTGCAGCTGGTGTACGGTGCCTTGCCAGCTAAGCACCCGCCTCGTGGCTCCAGGAAGCGGTGGAAGGATGCTGCAAAGGCTGGCCTTACCTCCATCGGCATTCCAGTTGAAGACTTCAATGACATCGCCCGGGACAGGGAGAAATGGCGGCCGAGGTGCCGTGACGGAGTTGAGCACATCGTCAACATCAGGACTCTACTGGTAACGAAGCCGTTCCAATGCCCGGTATGCCACCGCAGTTGTCGTCGACGGCAGGATGAGAGTCGCCACAAATGTAACGCGACAAGACACTCCCGTCGAGTGCCCTGATGGACAGCACAAATCCGAGTCTGCCCCTTTGGGGGCCACATAGCCGGACACAGCAGTGGTACAAGGAAGGAAGGAGGGTGTGTGTGAGTGTGTGTGTGCACATGTGCGTGTGTATGGCGCTTCGCGACGGCCCAACTATTCCATTTGAAGATCAGCCTCAAGTGATAACTGCTTGTAGCTTGGGCATGTCACCTCAATGCCACATGCATGTTTTGGGGATTAGTATGTAATAGGTTGCCTGATGATTGTACTGTATTGAGCAAAAAACCGTTGCAACGAACTAGCCTTGCTCCACTGTTCTACTGTGGGAATTACAGTAAAACCCGTCAATCGTTAAATGTGCGACTCGTTATAATAACATGTCTTACAGTATGTACTCTTGGTAGAATGCATTCTACCAAGAGTACATACTGTAAGACATGTTATTATAACGAGTCGCACATTTAACGATTGCCCCAAATCCATAGGTTAACGAGAACATACGGTAACGATCTTGCAGTCTTCAGGCATATCACATACGTGGCCTTACAGCCTCAACAGAACTTATTATAACGAAGCAATGTCACCCGTTAAAACGTTAGATTTGCTTCCTCATTATATTTACATGTCTTACAGTAACCCCCCAGAGTGCGCAAGTTCACCTATCAGATCTGGGACGGCGAAATCCGTGTTGCACGTCATAATAACGACATCATGAGCAGGGGAAGTGTGGACGTACGTGGTGCACCGCGTCAATGGAATGAGGCGAGTCCGACCCAAAAAACGACGTACATCACGGATTACGCCGTCCCACAACCCCATCCCAGGTGCGCACTCTGGGGGTTATGACTGTACTCTTCATTCTACTAACAACACCTCATGCCGTACGCACCAGAATATGCTGACTAATGCATATTCGACCACTCGTGCACTTCAGACATGCATGGTGCTTAGTTGGCCAGCAGTGCTAGTGGCCTTGCCTATCATAAGGTTTTTTTTAAAGATATTGATAGAAACAAAAACCAATCCACAACCAACGGATACCGATTCGTTTTGACAGAAACGTTTTTCTCCAGAATTCATCAGTGACTACTTCTGCTTGATGACGGGCGAGAATGAAGGAAGCAGCTCATGGTCTGTCAAAACAAATCGGTGTCCGTTGGTTGTGTATTGGTTGTGCTTCTATCAATAATTGCCATCTGATCTTGTCTCCGACTACAGTCCATTTCAAAACTATAGACGCGTAGGGTTTGAAATATTTCAAATTTGGCTGGAACTTTTAGAGAATACTTTTCGGAATATTGCTCAGGTCCGCTCCACAATTACTCTCATATAGTTTCTAAACGATTGGATAACAGACGCCAAATTTGGAAAAAATTATGCACAAAGTGATCACAGATTTTATGTGGTATAGATGCTGGCATAACGGTTTTTGCCTAGGTACGCGTCTATAGTTTTGAAATGGAATGTAGAAGGTTTTTTTTAATACAATGCAATTTTCTCTCTTCTGTTTTCTCCTCGTCAAGTCAGCTTACCCAAACCAGAATCCTCGTCAATGCTTCGAGCTTTCTTCGCCACTGCTTCGCTGGTTTCTGAAGCTACCTGCGGCGGCAATGAGCGCTTCATAATTGCACACAGGCTCGGGCCTGGAATCCGTTACATTCACACAATTGTTTCAAACGTTTGAACCAGGAATAGCAAATACTCAATAAAAACTCGCTGGTGGAAAGGTAATAGACCTCACTATGAGACGTGAAGACACAGCTGGTTATGTGGCCTTCAAAGAAATCATGCAACACTAGACGAAGCTTCCACTGGCACTGAGCTTCAGCTCCACCATTAATTTTTTACAGTGAGCTGAGCTGAACATGAATGAACATGTTTCGTGCGTGTGATGAACTCAGCAGTCTGTCGATGACAGATGTGGCATGTAGGCGTCGTCATCTTCGTCACGATGTAAGCCGAACATGACGTCATGATATAGTCAGTCTAGTCTAGTCGGATCGGATACCAAGGCATGTTTGTGTAGATGTATCTCAAGTCAAGACGGCAAGATCAAGACAAGACTCTACTCTTTTCTTTACTCTTGTCTTTCTGGATTCCTGTCTTTTGTGCCGTTGTTGTAACCAGTACTACTCCTTGGTTGTAACCCCACGAAACCCAGGTTAGCAGATACTTAGTACTAGTATATTTTTCAGTCGTCGGCATGTACCGGTGATAGAAAAGTAAGAAACTTGCAGCACAAGCCTCCATTGTCAAGAATAAGACCTCTTCCAATAAAAGTCTTGAAATGCAAACATGCAACCATGAGTGCACAAACACTCTACACGTATCTGCTTTCCAGCACATACATAACCTGATACACATACACACACACACACACACATACACACACACACACACACACACAGATGCACCTACTGTAGCGGACATGGAAATCCAGTCGATTGACCGGGGCCGGCGCCCTCACTGGCCCTCAGCGTGTACAGAACGCTGCGTGCAGTGCACAAAGTCATGTTGATCCGATGCGACCAGCGCGCTGCAGCGCATAATTCATGTCCACGTTATCCACGCCTGCATGGCCAGCGTCCTGGGGCCACTAGACGTGCGACCGAATTTCCATGTCCACGACAGTACATCACACAGAACAGACACAGCAAGGCCACCAGCCCAACACCATTTTTAAAACAGAACATGCGATGATGTACTTCGATCAGACAGCAAGAATGGAGCGAATATACAGCATGGACAGCAATACGAAGAGAAGATTCAAGACCATAGCATGGCAACACGAGAACGAACATGTCAAAGGAAGTTTTTTTTTACAAAGGCTGTTGCGAGCAACATCAGACCGAACCCCCGGCAAGCACGCCATGCAACAAATAGGACACATGCACGAGTTGTTACACATGGGCATGCGCATGCCACGTACGAGTCGCTCGTACTAATTTAAAAAAAAAATGGGAAAAGAGAATAGCGCCATGGAGCACGGTCACGTGGCATGGCAATGTCCACACGGCCATGTAGCTACAATGCGACAGGACAAAATTGATACAAGCGGAGCAACGCATCGGTCAAGAAGAGAATACCGGGCAGCAAGACGTGCAGGGGGCGAAGACGGCGCGCTTGCAACGACGAGAGTGGAACCGGCAGCAAGTAGGGGGTGGCTGACAGGCTCATCAGATGGGCTTGATCTTGAAGTGCAGACCGATTAGTGAGAAGACCATGCACTTGATATCTTGTACCAGGTAGTAGAAGTTACGGAGGCCCTCCGGATCCCTGCACAAACCATGGATAAGACAGACACCGACACGTTTGCTGAATATGGAAAAAAATGTAACAGTTTCACAAAGCAAATTGCTCTCTCTCTCTCTCTCCTCACATACACACACACACACATACACACACACACACACACACACACACACACACACACACACACACACACACACACACATCGAACCCGGTGGGAGCACCGGCAGCAGCATCGATGCATCCATTACCGTTATCATCAGCTGCAATGGCAGCAGAAACAGGAGGATAAGGCCCTTACTTGGACTTGGTGACGTCGATGAGTGATCCAATCTTCGATGTGGTAAACGAGATGTGCTGATCGTCAAAGACAATTTCCAGCTCCTGACGACCAACACGGTCAGGTGACGGCCACATCTTGTCATCTTCCTTCATCACCTGATCAACCACAGGCAAGATTCAGGATCCACGTAAGCCACCAATGGATACAGACTACTAAGTATTTTCAATGCTTTGGTGGCATTCAAGACAATGATAGCCTGCACTAACACTAGCACCGTGGCTGCCAGTTCGATTCTGTTTAGCTCGTAGTTGCACACATGAGAATTACCTGGCTGAACAGTTAGCTGTCTGCAGCATGGAGCAAGGTATGATCATGTCAACATCGTAAAGAAAATTGCAATAGCGCCACTGTAATACGATCCGGGAAACAAGGCACTAGTACATGATTTTACTGGCACGGCATAGCCAAAACATTACAGTCGGCGTTGCAGCTCCCTTCACGTTTTGGCCACCCCTTCCAAAGTCAAAAGCACCACTGTACAATGCAAGAATCGACGTATCGACACCTCTGTTCTCTCAATGCAGGATGGATTGCCTACGGGTGTGTAAAGAGTAGATCACTGTACTAGTTCATTGCTACAGTTGTGTCAAAATGGCGATCGGCCTACATTATCATGCTGTACTCCATGTCATGATGTGTGGAGTGATGCAGATTTGTACAGCTATGCACATACTTTCCCAGTCACCCCTCTTCAATTTCAAATAGGCTACAGCCATGGCATGTCCAGCAACAACATTACAAACCAGCCGTACCTCACTGTCATCGATAACTCTCATCAGCTCCTGTACAACAGCTTTGTGTACAACACACTGCAATGGCAAAAAAAAGAGAAGAATCCGTAACAGGCATGGTCATGATGGTGAAGAGAGAGGGGTGGCGGTGACGATAATAGAGGTGAGAGGGAACTGTTTCTTCAATACTCAGAGGCTACACTGCAGCCAATCAATCCTCTCTCCAGCACCTTCACAATTAAGTTCCAGCACCTTCTTCTCCCTGATGAAACCCCAAGGACGGAAATTTGGAGACTAATTTAATTTCAATTGCAGTGGAAGAACTTGGTTGTAAAGGTGTTGGAGAGATGAGCAGTATTGTTCACAGAACTATTCCGTAGCAAAACCCAACAAAACACGAGTAGTGCTGATATTGAAGACCTTCCAAACAGCAGCTTCCCTCCTTCAGAGCTCAAGGATTATTATTCGCACGCCACCATATAGAACACCCAGCAGGAAACACAATAAAAGAAAGGAAGAAACGTACTTGAAGTAACTGAGTAGGTCCTTCACTGCTCGTCAGACCCCTAAGCCAAATCCACGGCTTAACACTATGCTCCAATACAAGCAGCAATAACTAGCACAGAAATCTCCCGGAGAAAATCAGAACCAGGCACTACCTCGTCACTGATAGCAACAGTACCGGCCTAAGGGTGAAACCCACTCAATGAATATTATATAGCAACGGTGCATTCCAACACACGTCGCAATCCAAGTAACACTGGGGAAATGCAGTGTAGATGAATTTCACTGTATGGTCCTGGAGGGGTTCTCGCTGATCTCCCATTAATTATAACATGTGGAATGCTGGTAAGTGGCCTTGCGGGCGGGTGTAGCTTATCTTTCGTTTGATAAAGCAGCAGCAGCAGCAGCAGTGGATCTTACCTCCTTGCGGATCATTGTATCGTTCTTGTACTTGGAATTATTTACGTATCTGAGGCGGCCTGCAAGGACATGTAACGGGGGTACAAACAGGTGCCGTTTGAAATGCGGGATTCAACGCGGGACACTACTCGCTCTAACTGCCCTGGTACAGTGTAGCCACCATCCCACTGAATGACATACCATACAACACTCATGGCTAGACTTTGCGACACCCACTTCCAGTGAAAATAGAAAGGTTCCACGCTACGTAAAGTCGAGCAATTTGACTTGAGTAGGCAGGGGGAAAAAACGTGAATTTGTACTCCACTTTAATACGGAAAGTTGTCTATGTAGAGTACGTACATGGGGCTCCGTGGGCGAATTGAGGGATTTTCATGACTCTCTCTCTGGGCCGTACACTTCGCATCCGGGGTTGCAATGGGCAGCTACGTGATTCGAAAACTCCACGGATCTGCATGCAGTGTACGTACAACTTCCCGTAGATTGACCACGGTTTTTAATAACGTATGTTGTGCGAAACCTCTCTATTGCTGTGTCTATACAAGCATGTATGTTCACAGCACCAGTGCAAATCCACTACCTTACCACCTGTACAAAATGTTTGGCCCAACAGGGTGGGGCATTACACTTTGCTGTGCACTTTATTGTACCGCATGGTACTTGTGCCAAGAGGGTGCAGCTTCAGACTTTTGCTGCAGGGGCGTCTGCTAGGGGCAAAATTCCCAGATACATCATAGTTGGTGCGGATATGCGGCGGGAAGTGGCGTAACGCGTACAATTGAGCTGCAGTTGTGCAACAGGAGACCTGCTTGAAAGCTGCTCATAGGTACTACATCACTAAAATGTAATCCAGGACGTTCGCTGTGACAGCAACACAGTCCAGTTACATACTGTATTATTCTTGGTTTCATTTACTCTTCCTAGTATCTACTTGCTCTCCACATGTGAAGCGTTTGTTAGCTACTACAGTGTGAGTCTGGGTCATCGGCGGTGGTCATGTCCAGAGCCCCTTGATAAGCTACTTGTGCCTGGGCTATCCTAAACAAACACTAACTACAATAAAGTGAGCCAGGAAATGTGGGTACAGTATGCCTATTTTCTCCGTTACTACACGTAAAGACGCCTTGCACATAATCCTATTAATTCAGACAAATCGAAAAAAGAACTGGGCCTATTAGTATTATTAAACTCACATAAATATAACACAGTGTGATAAACGTGAACACTACGCTACTTTTCACGGCCTTGTATACAAAACTATTACAAATGATAAAAACCCAGGCTTCGTAGGCAATAGAAAATGACACCATACAAAAATGGATGTGAAAATGTGAGGGGGGAATGGAACGCCACTGCATCTATTCAGTAGCTCAGTTGACAAGAACGCCTGCTTTTACACCTGTTATGTACTCGATAACTTTAGGACCTTACCGTCGGGTCTAACTTCAAATTCCAAGAATTCATGGCCAAATTTTCCTTTGTGTCCAACATAGTAACGGAGATAGAAATCCTTTTCCCTGCTCGCCATGACTCTGCAATTTCCGTTACAGTACTCTCCAAACGATCTAAATTCCTCCTGCTCTAGCTCAGGAGATCAACACTCTTCTGTAAGAAAGAAGGCTTGAACTAATAAATTACTTGCATCTTCTTCGTGCAGGCAAAATAATCAGCGCCCACTATAAAAATTATTGATGTTCTTTTTGAATTTTGCTCATGCGAAAGCGAAAAAAAAGCGTCACCCACGTACGCAGCCATTTTGTCTGGTTGCGAGTGGCAACTGGCTTCTGTGGCGTCGTCATCTTCGGGTTCCCTGATCTGACCAGGCCAGGGTGTACGTACTGTACTCTGTAGATCTACGACTCGTACTAGATCTACTTACCGTATTATAAGCACAGTCTCATAATAGCACGTCTCCAATAATAAAACACCTTGGGCGGCATTCAAAAAATAAAGTGCTCAGTTTCCATTATAAGTACACTGTGTAAATTCATTATCTGTACGTGCGAAAAAAACCCTGAAATGTGTGCGTCTGACATGAATTTGGCATGGCAACATGCCTCAGTGTGTGAAATGAGGTTGATTAATAGCACGGGGCGGAGGTACATTGAAAAAATAAAGGACCGTGCTTATATTAGAGATAAAAAACCGTAGATCTACTCATTCATATGTCAAGTCCGGGCCATGGTACTTTTGGTAGAATCCGAGGCTACCGAGAGTACACATCGTGACCTCTCCCCCGGACAGCTAGCTGTTTCGCCTTTCAAGGGTAGGTCTCCTTGGCCTTGGCTGAGCTCAGAGCCACTGACTAAACCGATTGCAAGGACTCAGCACCCACGTTGTGTCGTGGCCGGCTATTCTCAGCGGTCCTACGGCTACTAGTACGTGTCAGTTATCATCAAGAGTTCATAACATTCATGGGGGTTATGAACTCTTGTTGTCATGGTTACCAGTATCCCAAGCCAGTTGGCACGAAGTCAATGTGTGCCTGCCCTCAAGTTGGTGATGGTCATCCCCCCCCCAGGCGGACCTCAGACCCAAAGCACAGAGAAACTAGGGTGGGGGGAACCCTCAGGTCCGGTACTGAGTAAAACATAGAAAGACAAAGCAAAAGTAGGTGAGAAGAAAGGCTGCAACTCAGGGAACTGGCCAAACCCGGCTCAAGCGGATAAGTCCGCTTGGGCGGTGTTACATGTACTGTTAGTGTCCACATCTACATAATTATCGTATGCGCTGTTGTACTTCTTGGCCACCCCAGACATCCATGATAGTCACTATGGCATATTGTGTTATGTTATGCATCTAGCCTGGACTTGGCGGGTTTTAGTTGCTGTGCATGAGTTGAGTCAGGCCTCTTGTTATTTTGGATTGAGGAAACAGAGAATCATGACTACAGTCCATTTCAAAACTATAGACGCGTACCTAGGCAAAAACCGTTATGCCAGCATCTACTAGTATACCACATAGAATCTGTGATCACTTTGTGCATAAATTTTTCCAAATTGGGCGTCTGTTATCCAATCCTTTAGAAACTATATGAGAGTAATTGTGGAGCGATCCTGAGCAATATTCCGAAAAGTATTCTCAAAAAGTTCCAGCCAAATTTGAAATATTTCAAAAACCCTACGCGTCTATAGTTTTGAAATGCACTGTACACTAGGCGGAAGCGGAACTCCTATCATGAACAAAGTCTATTCAAGTCCGAGCTACTCTAAGCTGATCCAAAAACCTCTTCGATATCTGGCAAGTTCAGTGAACTTATACTACGCTAACGTCTTTTTTCCAGCGAGCAGCTGCGAAGAGAAGGATCGAGCAGGCAACAGCAAGCAGAGGTCAGCAGGAGCCAGCGCCATACCATGGTAAGGAAAGTAACAATGCAAGCAGCCAGCCGGAAAGACCGTGAATGCGGCAACTGAGTCATGCTACCACATTGACTATGTCAATGACTCATGTGCAAGCATCACTACAGCATTCTGAGCACGTTTCCTCCAGTCAACCGAAACTGAAAAAAATCTGAGCATAATAACGCTAGCATGCAGCCTACTAACTTGGAAGCGCATCTAGTATTTTTCAACAAAACTACATGAATATATGGATGTACCTAGATGCTGGGACTGAAACCCCGTTAGTAAATAGAAATCTGAGATTCCCTGGCAAAACGTGGCGAAATTGTTCACCGATTACAATATAGTTTGTTAGAAAGACACAAGGTAATCTATCTGCCACAGATGATATTCGTGCGCAATTTTTTGAATCAAAGCTGTCACCCATTGCTTCGTGAAAACTGAAAAGTCTGCGCTTCTATTCAAGAGGGGCTTGTATTAATTCAAAATGGTTGTTGCAGGGGGAGGTGGGTGCATTATTCAAGAGGGGCTTATATTCGAGAGAGGCTTCTAATTGAGTGGGTATCAGCGGGTAATTAATTTATTTGATGGTTCAGAAATTATCTACTAACGAGGGAGGACCTATAACAGTGGCCGTAAGCTTGACATGATGACACTTGTGCCAGTATAAAAACAAATACCGTAAAGTCTTGTATAAAAGCCGCGGCGGCTTCTATGACTTTCTTGGTGAAATTTTGCAGGCTTCTATATGAGACAGGTATGTATATCAACACTAAAAGCAGGCTTATGTGTGATTTGATGGGCCCAAAATTGCGGCTTCTATTCAAGTGCGGCTTTTATACAAGACTTTACGGTAATTAAAACAAATAATTATGTAGAACTACTTCGAATTACTACCGTTGCAAATTTTAAATTCAATAAATCCTAAATAGAAAAATCTGATACATAATCTGCTAAGAATAACCTACTACCATCGCAATGTGGTTAGATGTACATGCTATATGTTATGCCATTCTAGTGGCATCATCTACTGCCGGAAATGTCACACGGGGAGACGCTGATTATGTGCAGTCACTTCAAGCTCTCACTTTTTTCTGCACCAGGTGATGGAATTCCACAGCAGGATGGCTGGCCACGCGGATTGGCCATCCGATACGCGTACACTGCCCGCGCTGTTGGGTCACCTACAGCAATGGCAACGAAGAGAGCACACACGTTTGACATTGAAAAGAGAGAGTACAGGCCGTTCACTGAACTGCAACAATGATAGCAGGTGCTAGGGTCATCTTAGAAATGACGCAACCGCTTGAATCTAGACCCTCTCCACTACATAAGATGACGATTTGGGAATAAATCCTTTGGCAGAAAAATGTAATAAAACTCGGATGTTGAGCAATAGTAGTATGATTGTACAGAGTATGGACCTATGTGTTACTCGTAACATACTGTAGAGGCAGAAAATTTCGTCGGTCAATAATTTCGTCCAACTCCAAAGAAAAGGAGTTCGTCCGGTTGAAAATTTCGTCCATGGGTCATAAGAGTGTATAGAAACACTGGACAAATCGATATTCGTCCTACATTTAATTTAGTCCAAAAGCTCCTTGGACGAAAAAGACGAAATTAAATTCCAGACGAATATTTCTGCTTATACAGTACAGGTCCTTACCCTTAACAGAAAATTTCCTTCTAATTTCAAGTACAATAAGTACAACTCTTTCGTTTGCCTCCAGACACAAGGGATGAAAACCTTTCTGAACACCTCATTTCGCGCACTGTACTCACTTTCTGTGGAATCCACTTCAAAAAATGTAACCACACTTGAGCAGAGGCTGATGGATAGCGAGGCAAATCCTCCCATGGAGTTACCACCGTGCCAAAACTTCAGCAATCCTTCGGGTACTGAGCTCTATACATGTACAGGGAAATAGGGAATCAATCGGCCTGCTTTAGTGGAGGTACAAACGTGTCTTCTCGCACGCCAGGCGGATCATCAGAATTTAGTTTGAATAAAAAAAAGAGTAAATTATCGTATCCGTTCCCGAAGTGCAGGGAGAAAACGGTTCAACATACAGTAAAGTCTGTCATTGCCGACCATTCAAGGACACCCACACATGGTCCAAATAGTCCCCCTACTGAACCAGGGCCAGTTTCCTGCAAGTGACACCCTTTGGTCACAGTTCTAGTGGTCCTCTGGAACAGGCGGTCGGTCGCCTTATCAGACCGCTCCCCTACACACACACAGGCTTACTGTCAATAGCGCCACAAAGAGCCGGTATCAATTGTGGACAAATAGTGGCTGAGCGCATACAGTAGAGGAGCCGCAAGATGTGAAATTTGAGCAGAGCTCTTAGTACCGGTACCACTGACTTAGCCAAGAATCACCCTCGACAGTTGAACACAGGCCCGGCGGAACCAGTCCGGTTGGTCAGGCCCTGGCTGGACCAACGTTTTAGCCACCAACACGTGCGGTGGCCGTGCGCACCCGCCATATCATGCAGGGCCGCCGGAACCGGTCCGGTTGGTCAGGTTTTCACCGGACCAACATTTTAGCCACCAACACCTACTAATGCTGTGGAGGTCATGTGTACCCGCCATATCATACACAAACTATGAAAGGCACTGAAACTACCGGACCAATCAAAAACTGCTTCCCGCGGTCCTGTCATGCACAATGCGTGAAGGGCTATTGTATGGCCGGACCAATCCAAAACTGCTTCCACTGGTACTGGAATGTACGCAAAGGACCAAAGCCAGCACACCTATGTGGAATTGAGCAGCTATTCAGGGCACCTACCTTCCGTTCAGTGCTGCTGGAGCTGAATGTTGCCGAGCCCACAACAAACATATCCACCTTTTGCGTCACAGAGTGGATATGCTGCAGGTTATGGTCGTGACCAGAGAAATACCTGAGCACAGGAAAAAGAAGAACAAAGCAGAACAGATCGCAAACCACATTTCTGTTTCTGTGGACCACTGTTAAACACTCAATACTAGGAAACAATGTGATACCTGGTCTGGTGGTTGGAGAGGGTGTCAGTGGCACCGATCCACTGGCACGGATGCAAAATAGCACACAACCCCAAACATTACAGAACTCAGTGCAGTTCCCATGTATGCAGGGCAACATCTTAAATTAAAAGCAAGCTAGTAAACTTATGCCTGCTCTCCCTTGCTCATTGGTGCAAGAAAACACACAGAATTGTAACATACAAGCAAGAGTACATTTTAAAGGGGAAGTTAAGGCAAAAATTAAAATTTCACCAGTTGTAGTCTTCGGGGTGCTGAGTCGAATGGTCTTGGTCCGAGAAAGCTGAGATGCTCCCTTCCTACTTGAATCCCAATCGAACTCGCGCACTTCCACCGAAACTGGGTGACTGCGCCCTACTAGGTGGGGATTTGTATGCAAAATGTCACTAAAAGCGCCATTTCGTTCTTATAAAAGCACGGATGACCACGATTGACCCATATGTTGTAGTCTTTTGGACGCTGAGTCGACTGGTTTTGGTCCGAAAAGGCTGCGATGCAGCTTTCCTCCTTTATTCCCAATCGAACATGGTTGAACAAGCGGTCACGTGCTCCTGCGTACACCAGCCACCTGGTCACCGTGCCTGCAGGGCAGGCGCGTCGGAAGGACTTTGGAGGTGGGGCGGCCATGGAAGGGGGGTCCGGGGGTCGTCTCCCGGGAAAAAATTTCAAAAATTGAAGCCAATTGCAAGCATTTCCGGGCATTTGGTGCCATTTCAGTGTACGGTATCTACAATGAAAGACTTTTTGATTCTGCAAAAAAACAAGAAGATGCTACGATCGGGGACAAACATTACCCTCCCCAGGGAAAAAAATTCAACAATTGAAGCCAATTGCAAGCATTCCCAGGCATTTGGTGCCATTAGATCTACATGGACTTTTGATTCTGCAACAAACCACGATCGGGGACAAGGATTTGCCACGTTTGCGCTGAGATCATCGCGCTTTGTTGCAGTGTGCTAAAAAAAAAAAAAAAAAAAAAAAACGGCCGAAAAAGTGGGGCGGCCATGGCCGCCCCGGCCGGTGCGGTTCCGACGCCCTTGCAGGGTACAACTTACTAGCCTCTTTGACCTTTTTTGGGTGCAGTCCTGTCACTCGAGTTGAACCTTGGTGTGAAAGTTGTCGCCTGCTGGTGTGGTGACCAGGTGATTTGGGCACCCAGGAGCACGTGACCGCTTGTTCAACCATGTTCGATTGGGAATAAAGGAGGAACGCTGCATCGCAGTTTTTTCGGACCAAAACCAGTCGACCCAGCATCCAAAAGACTACAACATATGGGCCAATCGCGGTCATCCGTGCCTTTATAAGAACGAAATGGCGCTTTTAGTGACATTTTGCATACAAATCCCCGTCTAGTAGGGCGCAGGCACCCAGTTTCGGTGGAAGTGCGCGAGTTCAATTGGGATTCAAGTAGGAAGGGAGTGTCTCAGCTTTCTCGGACCAAGACCATTCGACTCAGCACCCCGAAGACTACAACTGGTGAAATTTTAATTTTTGCCTTACTTCCCCTTTAAACCCCCCAGAGTGTGCAACGCCTGATCCAGCTCTGCATAGGGTCCTGGTCGAGCGTAATCGGATCTTTGCGTCATAATACCGTACACATCTGAGGGGAGCCCGGGGAGTCGCGGGTACTCTAGGATCAAAAACAACGGTGCCCTGCCTCGAGACCGGCCTTGCGCTGGTGTGGAGTGTACGCATGACATCAGAAGATCCGATTACGCTCACCAACACCCTATGCAGAGCTGGATCAGGTGTTGCACACTCTGGGGGGCTATGTACTCTTGATACAAGTAAGCACGTGGGTATTACTCACATGGCCACGCCGTGTCGCTCCAATAATGGCAGCAATCGCCTAACCAGGAGAGAACTTGATCCATGGCTGCCAACACTGTAAACTGGTAGACCAAACGAAAAAGAATCACAGAAGACAGAGGTTGGACAAAGGCATTTTTTTTTCATTCTGACAGAAACACCAGTACTAGTTCAGCCCACTCAGGGTGGATTCCTGCACTGAGCCATGTGCATTTGAACCTAAATTACCGTTCCCCATCTAATTGTGAAACAGATATCTTCCTTCCCATCTCGCAAATAGTCATGGAATACCTTGCGTAGTGAGAACTGACAGGGCTACCCACCCCTTCCCTCATCGACATAATATTATACCGTATTTTCCGGAGTACATGTATAGAAATACGGTACATGCACATGCACGCCGGGGAGTCGTAAAATACCGGTATTTTACGACTCCCTGATGCACGCACAGACATGTCACGCATATTACGGGCACAAGCTTACTCGGATGATGGCCAACCACTATGATCCAGTCGGCCGTACTCTTGGAGAGCCGAGAAGATATCCAGCTCCATTGCTTTTCGTCAGTCGCAGCTTCTCGGAAGAAGCCGAACAGCAACGTTTGTGTGTCTAAGAACAGGATTTGATAGGAGAGGGTGGAAGTGCTGCAAGGAAGTAGGAAGAAACAAAACAGTAGAGGATATGCAATATATTTATAGTAAAGAAAAAAGGTTCTAAAATGGTTGTTCCTAATCGATTTTCTTGAGACTATCATCAGGGAAAAATCGTCTCACAATAGAGGCTATACGGAGAAACAAACTACTTATAGGTTATAGCAAGAGTACATAAACAAGAGTGTGCAACTCCGGATCTCTCCTGCACAATCTCCAGATACCCCCGCCCACGGCGGAATTTTTTGTTGACGTCACCTTTTTTCAGAGAAACGCGGACTTTGCCGCAGAGCAGTGTGAGAGCACGTGCTGGGCACCGACCTTGTAGTGTAAAGCCCGGCCAAGTGCACGAGGGAAACCTCTCCAAAAGGCTCGCAGCGCGTGCGTCGTCGAAAAGATTACGTCAACAAAAAATTCCGCCGTGGGCCAACCCATCCGCGAGTTGCACACTCTTGTTTATCTACTCTTGGTTATAGGATAGTGGGAAGTATACAAGGTGAGGCGTGAAAAGAAAAAATAAAGTGGGAGAGAAGACGAAAGAAATTAGAAGAAAAGATGTGAGAGTGTTCCGACGGTGTGAGCTACTACAAAAGGTGAGTGAAATGAAGACTCTTCACCTAGCATTTACACACGTATTCATTCGCATGCACCTACACCTCACAGTTCCTCACTCTATCACATTCACCTGCTTCCACGCCTTCATTTCACCTTGTATACTTCCCACTATCCTATAACCTATAAGTAGTTTGTTTCTCCGTATAGCCTCTATTGTGAGACGATTTTTCCCTGATGATAGTCTCAAGAAAATCGATTAGGAACAACCATTTTAGATACATGTATTCTCATTCATCATTTTGTAATGTCCGCTTCACTTACCGTATTATCTCTAATATAAGCACAGTCTCCAATAATAGCACGTCTCCAATAATAGAACACCTTGGGGCGGCATTCAAAAAATAAAGTGCTCAGTCTCCATTATAAGCACACTGTGTAAATTCATTATCTGTACCGGCGAAAAACCCCTGAAATGTGTGAGTCTGACATGAATTTGGCATGGCAACAAGCCTCTGAAATGAGGTTGAAATAATAATGGAACAGTCTCCAATAAAGGAACGTCTCCAATAATAGCACGGGGCGGAGGTACATTGAACAAATAAAGGACTGTGCTTATATTAGAGATAATACGGTATGCTATTAATCGCATTAATAAAGTTACTAAACAATCAGCTCATGAGATAACACTGCACGACACTGACCGACGGTACTGAAGTTGTATAACTAACTGGCTAACAGCTCTAGCACATCTTGGATGCGCACTCCAACAGCCTTCCAACTTGGAAGGTTCAAAGTTATAGAAATAACATGAGTTTATAGCAGTGTTTATATTCCCATAAACATTACGACACCGGTGTTTATTCTATATGTGCTGTGAAACTGCAGTAGAACATACATGTAACCTGAAGGTCTATAAAATGATGAAAATCTGTACTTCATAGCTGCTTTTAAAGGGGAAGTTAAGGCAAAAATCAAAATTTCACCAGTTGTAGTCTTCGAATTGCTGAGTCGAATAATCGTGGTCCGAGGAAGCTGAGACGCTCCCTTCCTACTTTATTCCCAATCGAACTCGCGCACTTCCAACAAAACTGGGTGACTGCGCCCTACTAGATGGGGATTTGTATGCAAAATGTCACTAAAAGCGCCATTTCGTTCTTATAAAAGCACGGATGACCGCGATTGGCCCATATGTTGTAGTCTTTTGGACGCTGAGTCGACTGGTTTTGGTCCGAAAAGGCTGCGATGCAGCGTTCCTCCTTTATTCCCAATCGAACATGGTTGAACAAGCGGTCACGTGCTCCTGCATACACCAGTCACCTGGTCACCGTGCCTGCAGGGTACAACTTACTAGCCTGTTTGACCTTTTTTGGGTGCACTCCTGTCACTCGAGTTGAACTCGAGTTGAACCTTGGTGTGAAAGTTGTCGCCTACTGGCGTGGTGACCAGGTGATTTGGGCACCCAGGAGCACGTGACCGCTTGTTCAACCATGTTCGATTGGGAATAAAGGAGGAACGCTGCATCGCAGTCTTTTCGGACCAAAACCAGTCGACCCAGCGTCCAAAAGACTACAACATATGGGCCAATCGCGGTCATCCGTGCTTTTATAAGAACGAAATGGCGCTTTTAGTGACATTTTGCATACAAATCCCCATCTAGTAGGGCGCAGTCACCCAGTTTCGGTGGAAGTGCGCGAGTTCGATTGGGATTCAAGTAGGAAGGGAGCGTCTCAGCTTTCTCGGACCAAGACCATTCGACTCAGCACCCCGAAGACTACAACTGGTGAAATTTTGATTTTTGCCTTAACTTCCCCTTTAATACATCCGAGGTTAACTAAAATATGATTGATATAGCACACTGCAAATGTACTTGTTACAATATCCAATGGCAGGTTACAGTAGGGATTCCAGTCAAAATTTCAAATTCATAATTCAAGCTAGCTTGTTCTTGGACAATGTCACCGAGGTAATGAGAAATCCAATGGTACCAATTTTATCAAAATCGGTCCAGGCATTCGAAAGTTATAGCCATTTTTCTACAGCGAAATGGGTGTATTTTTCTCTGGCGATCAAATGGGAAATCAGCTCAAAACATGGTCAAACTACTGCATAGCCACCACCTAGCTACATACATTTTCACACGAATCAGATGAAATTTTGTTTACAGCCGGCCTCTTATCCTTGCCTTGAGCGGATGGCATATGCACGCTTCGATTCGGCAACCTACCCCTCTTCTTCACACGGCTTTGGCCGACAAGGACGTCAAGTCACCAGCACGGCTTTGGCCATTGCGGACAAGGATGGCAAGTCACAAACACGCCAATGTTGCCGATGCCGTCATCTGCAGAGCTTGCAAGTTGTGAACCAAATCCAGAAGACGCTGTCGATGGGAGCTGGGATCAGGCTGATCATGGTGAGAGATACTGCATCAGCTCCAACACCAACCAGTTCGATCGGTAATGACGGCAGCTCACTGTTCTCCGCCAGCGCACGAGTCGTAAATCCAAGCCGCCGCCTGTTCTCCTTGTTCCTCGCAAACAGGAGATAGTACAGAATCGTGTACTACGTCGTGCTCACTAGGCACAGCGCAATCCTGGTCTTCGTGCTGCTTGATACTCGCGATCAGCTGACTGCGCTGGGGGTAACACCTAGTTTCTAGTGTAGATCTACTCTTCTTCCTCGCTCTTGAAAAAATCGCCATGTCGGAGGTGCTTTTAGTCCTACTCGGCGCACTCAAATTTTGTTGCGCTGCTCTACCTTGCTTGAGAAAAACACCGGCACGGGTGATTCCGAAAGGTATTTGGGTGCTGAAGCTGAAAATCGGTTTAAGAATCCCCCAAGATGCCATTTTAGACTTGAAAATCGCCTTCAATTTCTTCTTTGACTGATTGCAATGGCCTAATTTCGCCGCACGGCGATCAAGAACCCCACATTGGACAGCTGAAAACCTCAGGAAGCCACTGGTGACTTCAAAAATCCTCCAGAACTTACGATATCCCAGCGCACTGGCCTAGAATGAGCCGTCATCGCGCGACCAAACTTTTGTGTGTAGCGCGTGGAGAAAGTCCTCGAACCCAGTCGGCCAGATCCTGGAACCCCTAGTTACAGCCAGGGCAGGTCTACTTTTTACTGAAGTTTCACTGTACTAACCCCATAATCATGATTGTTATGTATCCGTGCAATCCGTGCAGTCAAACTCCATGATTATAGTTATACTCATAGACAAAATACATACTCCGGGATGTGGAGACTCGATAACGAGCTGAAGAACTCACTTGGTGACCTGGATTGAAAACTGCTTGGTGTAGTAGCGAGATGGGAAGTTCCAGCGCGACGACCTTGCGTGATAGTCCAGCAGAGCTTGAACCTCACCTCTGTGGTCGTGATTGCCGAGGATAACGTACCATGGGACTTGTAGAGACGGGTGAGAGAACTGCTCCTATGATACAGGGTGAAGAGGGGGCATAAAAACGGCACAGTCAAGGAAAACTGGCCGTGAGGAGAACCGCAGGCAAGCAGGCTTCCATTCAGCTAGAATGCGTGCAGCAACCCAGTAGCTAGTCAGAGGGTGGTGCAGAATGCCAACTCCCAGGCCGTGCTTACCGGCGGTTAGATGCTATGCAGGGTTCTAGCCAAAGGGGGGTAGGGGGGGGGGGCAGCGCCCCCTACTCCGTTTGCGCGCCCCCCTGTGAAAAAGTGCCGCCCCCTTCTCATTTTTCCGATTTTTGTGTTTTTTCACGCCATTCAACGAAAATACAGCCGATAGTCACTACTAGAGGGTTCATAAAGGCACATTTGTGAGGGATGAAGTCGGGACTTCACCCTGTACGTTACATTTTGCATGGCAAGACAATTTTGGACAATGGAAAAAATTGGTCATGGGGTAACCTTTTCCCATGCCCGCCCCCCTACTATTTTGACCTGGCTAGAACCCTGCTATGATGGTGCAGGGTTCTAGCAACTCGGTGTAAGAAATCTGAAGAGGGTGGGTTAAGAGTCTTCAACTGAAGACGGAATGCACTTTTCAAACTGAACTTGGTATGTCGGGGGGGGGGGGGGTGCACCTGTACCACTCCCCTTTCCTTTTCATCCCCTCCCATTTAGCGTGAGGCTGAATTACAACCATGTGCAATGTACATAATTGTACATATGCCGGAAAAGACCAGAAATGTGCACTCACCTCGAACGTCCCCTGGAACCGCTTGTCGTCCACCGAGGTCACGCCGTATGGGTAGAAGAGATCTCCCGGTGAAAGCACTTTGTCGACGCCAAGTTGCTTGGCTGTTCGCCCCGCCGCGCTGCCAACCGACGCCGAGATGGAGGTTTTGTACGGTGGTGTGCCCTGGCCACCCCAGTCACCGATGATGAGCGTGTTGCCGGTGATGTCATTCTTACTGCCACAGCCAGGCTGGCTGGGTAGGGGAAGTCCTGTTATTTTCAGCTCCACTGCAAATACACCTGCAAACGACCAGCAGCGAACCAGCCAGTCGAAACCTGGAAAGATAAAGCCGCTCCATGTAGATTGCGAACTCACTCTCCTGTGCAGGCGATGGGTGTGTTGAAACAAGGGACTTACGCTTGACAGAAACGCGCAGACCAGTGCAAGGACTACAACGAGCACCAGGAGCTGTGATCTTGGCCTGCACTGGCTGCAGTAGTGTCTGATGCGAGCTTCGACCACAGACCTCACCTCCAGGAAATCAAACGGGGCCGGGCTAGAGCTCGGCTTCCGCCATGGTTGGACAGAGCGGTCACGCTTGAACATGACATTATGTACCGGCAGGTCTACTCCTACAACAAAGCAGCATTTGACTGATGATTTTGCCAAACTGTCCAGGCAATTGAGTTCACCAAACACCGTACTTATTTTCTCAAAACTTTCAAAACAGCCATCATTCGTACAGTTCACACTACATACAGTGTACTTTGTCAAGCAAAGCGCAGAAACGGATCATCAAGTACAGCTACTTAGTCTTTGAGTATCATCCTCCTTCTCTGAGGTTTCTCCTCCCATTCGTCTGCGAGGTCGAAGGAAGCAAGAACTTCCCCTGCTGGCCGGTTTTGTGGACAAACGTCGAATCCTGACAATTATGTACGTGATGTAGCTCCATGTGTTTCATAGCATAGTAGATCTACATTCTACAGTACATGTGCAGCAAAGAGGTCATGACCCCTCGACCTCCAAACTCCTAGAAATGACGAAAATTTATTGTCAGGATTGCCGATTGGCAGCGTGATCAGGGAGGCCCGGAGCTGCATGCTTTCGCCAAGACTCAAGAGGCAAGAAGACGAGAACAGGAGAAGCCTCAAGTCCAGACTACAGCCTTGAAGAGGCCCGAATCGCAGAATACAGACTACTGAGTACTGTACTACCATGAGGCATGACTACTGCACTGAGTACATGTATGTAGGACGACGATGACGACGTTTTTGACTCGTTCATTTTTGAATTATTTTGATCATGATTCATTGTTGCAAGAGTACATTTAATTAACCCCCCGGGTTATCATGGTTATGTACTCTTGATTGTTGATTGTCGATATCCATGATCGATGTGTACGTGTCGCGTCGTCAGGTTGACTCGGCCGCCGGCGGTGCCGCACCGCTGCATGCAGGTGGACGATTCTTTGAGAAGATTTCATGAGTTGAATGGTAGTGAAAGAGAAGCCAAAGGAGAACTAACATAGACAGGTCTATATCTACAACTGGGGGTAGAGTCAGAATTTGCTGTCCTGCAGATCAGCATGGCAGAATCCAGAAAGTAGAGTTACTTCAGATGTAAACACAACTCAAAGATGTTGAATGGAGCGTGAATGGCAGGTCATTTTCATGCAGCGGTGCAGACACGAGTAAGATTTCGTCTCGTGAATATCACGACGCCCACGTTATAGTCCTACGGTTTCTCTTGCAGGTTAGTACATACAGGCAACTTGTGACTTACGATAGGTGAATTGGGGATCATCTAGCAGCTTGACGACATACATGATCCTGGTTTTACAACCATTAGTGCATTCCTCACCCCTACATTTGACCCCCAAAACACTTTTTCTAGGAATTATAAAATAATTTTAAGCCGACCAGCGCCAGATTTCTCACTTAACCTCTTTAGCACGACGCTACCTGAGCGCGCCCCACGCGACAACACCTGTAAAAGTCGCATTTTCCCATGAAAGTACTAGCTGCTCAAGGATCGATAACTTTACCTTCCCTTGGACGAATTCCACGATCTTGAGCTTCCTGGAAAGGTCTTGAGACGAGTGACAAACTGGTGTCAAACCTAGCTCGGAGCGAAACCAAAACCCCGTGCTACAGTCTGGCAAACTTCATCCACGCGCTCGACAGACTTGAGCACGGCCAAGACTAACCAAGCTCAAATATTCAGCTGCCATTTCGGTCTCCTTGCTCGTATCGAGCTCAAATTTTTTGTGAGGACTCACGGGATCCACTACCATCATTTGAATCTTGTTTCCATGGCAGCAGGTAGCGCACAAGTGATCCATGATGGAAAATACGCGTTCTGCAGACTGCGCAAATAAATCGAGTTGAAATTTGCCGTGTCGAGTCGCATATCTCAACAACCGGTGGTCGCATCGCTTCGGCGATTGTTTCTATCGCCAGCTGAGAGTTTTCTCTTGCAGATACATGTTTCGATTGTGAGAATCGACCAAGTATTGAGTGAGTTACGATAGTTTGAACAAGTCACTATGGACTCAACACGGACCCCACGACTATGAGATGCGCGTTCTGCAGACTGCGCAAATAAATCGAGTTGAAATTTGCCGTGTCGAGTCGCATATCTCAACAACCGGTGGTCGCATCGCTTCGGCGATTGTTTCTATCGCCAGCTGAGAGTTTTCTCTTGCAGATACATGTTTCGATTGTGAGAATCGACCAAGTATTGAGTGAGTTACGATAGTTTGAACAAGTCACTATGGACTCAACACGGACCCCACGACTATGAGATGCGCGTTCTGCAGACTGCGCAAATAAATCGAGTTGAAATTTGCCGTGTCGAGTCGCATATCTCAACAACCGGTGGTCGCATCGCTTCGGCGATTGTTTCTATCGCCAGCTGAGAGTTTTCTCTTGCAGATACATGTTTCGATTGTGAGAATCGACCAAGTATTGAGTGAGTTACGATAGTTTGAACAAGTCACTATGGACTCAACACGGACCCCACGACTATGAGATGCAGGTTCACTGTACAGTGTACAGCGCGCGTCGTACTAGTACGACGGCCGTGGGGCATGCAACTCATGTGCGTCGTACTAGTACGACGCTCGCGCTAAAGGGGTTAAGCGGGATTCACAGAAGCTTTTTTTGCGATGCGACACGCGATGCGACGCGATCTGCGATGGATGCGTGCGATGCGAACGCGCGAAATACCATTCACAGAAGAAGTCAGCGATGTGACAAAGTTTTGCTGATTTGGGTACGTCACCATGATATTCGCGCGGTTTGACACAACTTATAAAAATTTATAGGCAACTCTTGCACCTTTGTACAACTTTGCTGTAGAAAAGGTCAAAATCGTACACCAAATCGCTTGTCGCATCGCATCGCATCGCAAAAGTTGAGCCAAGCTCAACTTCTGCGATGGCCTGCGATGGCCCAGTTGCGGCAGTTGCGTGGGGTGCGACATGGCTGCGATTTGGGGTTTTCCCGGTTTCGCGTCTGTCGCATCGCGTGTCGCATCGCAAAAAAGCTTCTGTGAATCCCGCTTTAGGGAGCATCTCATAAGTTCGCACTTTTTTTGTAAACGTAACGCATTTCGAATAGACTTTACCCCCCTACCTCCCCCCACTATTTGAAAGTCTTATCGCACATTTTCCGTGTACATGTAGATCTACTATTGTACATGTACATGTACATGAATGTTTTGCTAGTGTGGAAGTGAATGGCATACAGTAGTACCGCATCTACTGAGTACAAGTACAACCAATGACATGTACACGCACATAAACAGAGTTTCTCCACAAAGACTGTACAATGTACTGTGAAAGCTGGCCAGGTACACGGTTTGATAATGCTGGTGTGAAATTTGACACCTCTGATGGTTAGCCTGCGTGATTGATTGCATGCAGTGCAGGGTTAGCTCAGCTGATCTGCGAACGTACTACACTGTACTAGGTAGATCTACACCTGAACACCATGATATGAACACGCCCTAGGCCCTGCTGAAGCGGTCTAGCACATGCACCATGTGCACAGCACAGTATTGTACACATCCAGAAAATGTGCGAACTGTCATTTTTCTATTCGAAATGGGCGCTACCCCCTACCCCCGTTTCGAAATGCATTACGTTTAGAAAAAAATGCGAACTTATGAGATGCTCCCTTAGGATGGGTTCATTTTTGTCTACTTGGTAGAGTAGAGTAGAACCAAGAGTGTGCAACACCCTATCTTGATCTGCAATGGATTCACCAACAGCGGAATTTTTGATTGCGTCATTCTTTGGAAGAAGTATGCCCAGGTGTATATGCTTTCCCGTGCTTGTTTTGTAGATACGGCACAGAGTTCATCAGGTTCAGGACATATCGATCTATCGTCCGTTGTTCTGCCTTGACTACCGTAGCTGCGATCTGCAATTGTTGTGTACTTTGATCGCTGGCTGCGGCTACGCATGGTGGCATTAGTGAGCCAAACAACCGCGAAAGACTGATGTCATTTAAAAATGCCGCCGTGGGCTAGGGAATCGTCGAGTTGCACACTCCTGGTTACTGTAGTGTCGCGTATAAAAGCATGACCTGTATAGAAGCATGATCTGTATAGAAGCATGACCTGTATAGAAGCATGATCTGTATAGAAGCATGACCTGTATAGAAGCATGATCTGTATAGAAGCATGACCTGTATAGAAGCATGACCTGTATAGAAGCATGATCTGTATAAAAGCATGACCTGTATAGAAGCATGATCTGTATAAAAGCATGATCTGTATGGAAGCATGATCTGTATAGAAGCATGACCTGTATAGAAGCATGATCTGTAAAGAAGCATGATCTGTATAGAAGCATGACCTGTATAGAAGCATGATCTGTATAGAAGCATGACCTGTATAGAAGCATGACCTGTATAGAAGCATGACCTGTATAGAAGCATGACTCGAATAGAAGCCGATTTTCCAAAGCGTGCCGTAACACAGAAGCATGGTTTGAATAGAAGCACATGTACTTGCACACTACATGTGTGACAATGTACACTGTACAGTGTAGACTGAAAATGTTGACATGTAGAAGCATGTTTTGAATAGAAGCATATCTTGAAGCACGGGTTGAATGACGGCTTGTACGGCCGTAAGCACCTGCTTTTATACGCGACATTACGGTAAGAACGGATAAAGGAAAGATGGTAGATGGTAGTTCACGAATGCTCGTCCATCCACCAGTTCGGTAGAACATCGATGTATAGTCCGTTTACCAGTTTGCAGTAGTTACAGTACGACGTACGATGTAATGGAGACCAGCACTCAGGGTCACACTTTTTTTTCCTTTTTTGTTTTGCTGCTTACTGTAAGTCGACAAATTTTCGGCCCATTCAAATTTCAACCTCCCAGGGCTAAAACACATTTCGGCTGCAAAAAATGTTCGGCCTGTACTGCATGCACTACTAGTCTTACTGCTGTTGCCTGTATAGACTGTCACATTGAACCTTGCAAAACAAAATTTCGGCTGCAGCAAATTTTCGGCCAAATATGATCAGGGCGAAAATAGTCGAAAATAAAATATGCGCCGAAAATTTTGTTGACTTACGTTAACAGTATCATGAAAATGGTGGAAACTGGAAAAAAAAAAAAAAAAAAATTCACGGTTCGCGTGAGACTCGGCCAAAGGCCCAGTTTTCCGCATCCGCAGGAACGCCACCACCCTCTTGGATCAAGAAACTGGAAAGCATACGCGAATTTCCCATCTTCACCGTATCCGTAAAACGGTGATTTGCTGGGTTATCTATGACTCATGATGACCTATAACACCACAACTTCGCCATGGGATTTGTTTTATGCAGCATAGATGCGGAGTTGCACACTCTCGTTTATGTACTGTTTTTACCACTGTTACGGAATCTCAGCTATTCCGTTCCCCGGGACGCAGGACATAAAGGACAAGACTAGTTTTGTTTTACATTTATATATTTTGACATTACGGAAATGAAGACTACACTGAAAGGGACGAACAAGAAGACTGACAAAAGGACTCTCGACTACAAAATTGCGCATGCTCATATCACACATGCACGCGACTAGACGAGACAGTTTGGGGAATACCATCACACAGGAAAACAACACATCATTTTACAACACCTGCCCCCTTGATGACATTCCACAAAATTAAAAAAAACCGACACCACGTTCCACATGCACAACAGCAAAAGGAACCACAGCCAAAGAGAAAAATCAAAAAATAACCAGCTTACATCGTAGCACAACAAGCTTTGAGTGGCTTGGGTTTTTTGGCTTGCTGTAGCAAGCCAAAAAACCCAAGCCACTCAAACGGGCAAGCAAGGCAACAGAAATCAACCAGGAGCCAACGTTCATCAAACCAGGCCGCGACACAGGGCCAAACCAAAAACATAAAACCGAAAAATGCAACTGGAAACAAGTAAAGATTAAATTTTGTGCATGCAACAAGCTTTCACGTTCCTCGGAGCAAGACCCCACTGCCACGGACGACCAACCATGCCGTCTCCACGATTCCTGCAGCCTCATATCCATCCAGGATCCTTCGCACCTCAGCAACAGCAAAACAAAAACTGACAACAGACCAGCACAAAATAAATCTACTAAACAAAACTATACGGAATAACAGAACGACGAGAAGAGCAACAGAACGACAACAACCAAACTCAACAACACAGCAACAAGCAACGAACTGAACAGCGAGAGAAACACGATCAGACAACGCAGCGAGCAAGACAACAAGACGAACAACAAAGGACGACACACAGTCGGTGATACCAGACTCGTCCACTGGCCTCTGGCGAGCCACGGCCACACGCTCCATGCGATACTGCCGTCCCGGGCTCCAGTCCACAGGTTCAGCCCACCACCTCCTCTGCCTCCTTTCCATCGACTTGCGCTCCCACCTCTCCTGATCACCTCCATCCCCAGGCTTACCCTCTAGTTGTACTATTTGTTGTTGACGACGACGACGAACAGACTCATGACAAACTAACTCATCCTCTGCGTCCCGGGTTTCGGCACCTCGTTGTCACGGAATCACAGCCATTAACACACGGGGTAGTGCCCAATGATACGGCCGCACCACTGGAATACGTTGCGACACGGGACTCACCGGCAGCTTCATGTCAACGCCGTCTCGTTGCTGCCACCGTAGATTGCCCGACGACCCGCTTAGCTGCAGTCCAAGCACTCGGGCCTTCTACAGCTCTTGCGCAGGTTTGGTTGGCAGACCGAACCGAGCCAGCGTGTCCTTCACAGACGCCATGATGGACCGCGGCATGAACAAGTCGTCCACGAAGTTATCGACGTTGGGGAAGTCACGCGTCACGAACTTCACGATGGTGTCCATCACCTTCGGGGCTATGCTGAGCCCGAAACCCAATCTCCCGCGCGTGTACATCTTGCCGTCATACACGACCACTTGATACTTTTGCAAACTGGGGTGCATGCGCACCTGCAGATACGCTTTGCAGATGTCGAGAACAACGTTCTCTGTTCCTCGCTGGCACCACTCACGGAGCTTTTGATCAGTAGCTGGCGCGTCAGCTCCATGACTGGATTTGATCATCTGGTTCAGGCACCTGTAGTCAAGGCATGGCCGAACAGGCGTCGTTGGCTTGTGCTCTTGACTCACAGCGAGAAGCGGCAGTACAGCCCCAGGTGAACCGGGCATTTCCTCGTTATACGGGACAAGCCAGCCGTTGCCCATCCACATGCGCACCTCTTCCTGGAACTTCTCTTCCTCCGCTTCCGACGATTTTCCTCTGCCATACTCGCCGATCCCTATTGGCCGAGTAGGTGCTCCTCCATTGACTCAGCGCCACTTCACCGGCCAATAGCTACGGTCAGCATGCCAACGAACTTCGGAATCATCAATCGTTAGCAGCACGCCACACCACAGATTCCAGTCGGATGAGCTCGCCTCAATGCCCCACTTGCCACGGACAGGATCTCCGGCAGCTAACTGTGCCTCCAGATCACGACATAACTTCTCTACGGTGCTCGGGATCAGCGAATCCCAGCCTCGCTGTGACGGATTCGCCAGACGTTTCAGATAGCTGCAATACAGACGCAGCCATGAACACAAGAAAACAACATCATTTTACAACACCCCACCTTGTTCCACCGAAGGGGGTAGGGATTTGAATTTGCGCAATCAAGTGAGATGTGACTGTATGCAGTGTTTTGAATCTTTGATGCTGCAGTCTGCACCATTTCCAGTTTTTCATTCTGCTGTGTCTGTATTATGTTGTTTGTTGTTTGTTGTATCAGCATTGCTTTATACACGGGGCCACCAGGAACGCTGCACTGCTGCTGTCCGTTGCATTGTCCGGACTTGCTACGGGAGACACTGACGACCCAGTGCAGCGGGAATAGCACAATGCTCTTGCAGTTCCAGGCTGTCGGCCAGCACGTTTTCCTTGCCGGGTGACGTGGCAGTCAGGTACTTTCTGTGTGACGGTCATGGCTGGCTCATCTGGCAACACAACAGACGGCTGGCAAGTAAAGTAGCGGGATCATAACGCAGACGTCACTTTCCACACTGACAGCTACTAGTCTGCACAAGTGCTTGGGGCATGGGGAATAATAGCGGCGCTGCGTCATGCCCGAGGCTGCTTAGCTCCGTGGTGTCGCGCCACGCCTGCCATCTTGTCTGCATCGCTGTGTTATCATCCATTACTCTCCTCCTCTGGTGGACGAGCAGTGGTATGCTGCCGCTATGGGCAACGACAATGACTTCGGGCAGGCTGCTCGAGCCCGTGGAGGAACCTCCTCGGGCAACTCTTCTCCACGGCGGCTTAGCCAGCGCGATTGCCCCGCCGTGCCTGGCCCGCTCTAGCAAGGCTACTAGTGAGCTACTCGTCATCGGTGACTGGGGTGGCAGGGGAAGATCACCGTACATGACCCCCGTGTCTCGCGCCGTGGGTGTCGTGTCCGGCCAGCTAGCGCAGGCACTGAGCGCCGTGGCAGTCCTGTCGCCTGGGGACGCGTTCTACCCCAGCGGCGTGAAGAAAGTGAACGACTTCAGATTCAGAGTCACGTTTGAGGTGAGCACCAGGTGCCAAGTGCCCATGGCTTCCTTGGATCATCAAAAGTAACTCAAACACTGTATTCGCTGACCAGAATCCATAAGTAGAGTTTCACATTCAGGCTTATTTTATACTCTTGTCATTGGTTGGCAAGGAAACTCCACTCTCTTCGTGTCAATGTTGCAGGTGAATACATGAAAACCTTGCCCGAACCAGTTTGGGCGCCCGTATCTACATGTGCATGTATAACCAAGAGCTTAACTGTATGCTAGTATGCCACACAAGTGATTTGTAGGCAAACTTCGCTTGTCCTATCCCCTGGACAGACCGACGTTTACTTCTGCATTTCACTTAGTCTGAAAACTCTACGAAAATGATGAAATGAAATTCCATTTCACCGGCAATATGCTGTATAAATTGACATCGTTGTGCTTCGTCACATTATCACCATGTTTTGATTTGAGAAGCAATGGCACGAACGGCCTCATCAGGTTTACATCAGGTTTACAACTACACTGTAGCTTCATCTCTTCGTGTGATAAAATAAAATTCTCTGCTAGTATTTCTGCTTGTACAGTGGACTGACTGATGCTGCCTGCCTTGCTGCCGGCTGTGCACGCTTTCCATCCCGGCTATGCCATCACTTTAGGAGCAGTTCTCTCACCCATCGCTACAGATTCCCTGGTACATGGCCTTGGGTAACCATGACTACGAGGGTAAGCTCAAGCCGTTGATGGAGTACGGCAAAACGTCCCGGCGCTGGAATCTGCCTTCGCTCTACTACAGCCATGTCTTTTCGATGAACCTCTCAGAGTAAGTTGTGCAGTGCATGTGTACCTGTGTCGTTTGCAAATTTAGAATCTACACCTGCCTGTGGCCCTTGGCGGCACTGGGGCTTATGAAACATTCTCCTATCCTATTTCCTGCGTCTTGGTTTCTGATGTAACCTTGCACTGCCTGTCCTGGCCAGGGTTGCTGTGGTATCCGGTAGGCAGCCTGTCAGTGCATTGGAGATTTGCTGCTGTAGGCCGTGCATATTAGGAGAGATGTGGCTGTGAATCCAATTGTAATGAATGGGGGAGCCATCGGCCATTATTCTAATAGCTACTTCAAGTAATTTACACTTGGATTCCCATTAATAGTCTACTTGTATATGCATGCTTACGCTGTAAGAAGTGCCTGACATTTGAGCAAAACATCACTTTAAGACATGCGCTCACTCATTGTGCAATTTTGCCGGGTGTGCGGGGATCAATGCACACCGGCGTGCTGTGCACACCCCGTTTACTTACCGGTATGAATAGTTGAATACCTCCTGTTGTTTTATGGTTTGCCTTGCGTGATGCTATGCACACCAGGTCTAGCTCTGTCACATATCAAATACTGTTCCTGGACACCAATCGCCTGGTTCGTCAATTCAAGCGCCTTCCTGAGCGGGACTCCGACCAGTGGGATTGGATCTCAGACCAGCTAGCGAGCAGCACAGCCGACTGGATATTTGCAGTCGGCCATCACCCGAGTAAGTTTCACGTCTTCTCGCCCTCATTGCTGGCCTTTTCGTGGCATGCAAAGCTGGCTGTCTGGGTAGCAGTGTGGTGCGATATTTATAGTCAATACCGTATTTTGTGAGCGATAAGTCGACCCCGGTTATGAGTCGAACCCCCATATTTGGGGCCTGGATTTCCTACAATAATATAGTTCAACCCGGTTGTTAGTCGACTACCCCTTTTTTCATACCCCTTTTTAGTTTGCCTTTAGGTCTTAAACGGCCGGCTTACATGTGCACTGTACAAGATAAGATTCTTTTTCTGTCAATGGTGTACGATAGTTATCTAAAGCATCTGGGAAGACTGTTGTGTGTTTCAAAACTGGAAACGTTCTTACTCTGTCAGATTTAAAAGAGTGTGACTGTGTACGTGTGGTTTGTTTTGCCTGCTTCCAGTTTACAGCGTCGCCGACAGAGGCACAAACCCGATCCTTGTTCAAGAGCTCCTGCCTCTCTTGGACCGCCACGGCGTAGCACTGTAAGGAGTCGAAGCCTATGTTTTTAAAATGCGGCACACTGCGTTTCCTGACGTAGTAACTTTTAAGTAGACCATGACCAATTCAAAGACCATTCTCGAATGTATGACCGCTGGAAATCCTGCGAAAGGTTGTTGCCTGTCCCTACTAAAGACACTGAAAAACCAGCCTCATTCATTTCCCAGTTGAGGTGATTTGCCTGAGGTAAGGAGAGAGAAGCAGAGGTGCTCTCCATAGGTGGATAATAGCTAATGGCTGTGCTACTGTGTAAAATTAGGGTGGCACCTGCACTAAGTATTGTATTGCTGCAAGAAGAAGACATGGCATTATATGTACTTCAGTGCTACAATAGTACAGTTGTGCGCGGTGAAATCCGACCCAGAGTGCACGTTTGGCGCCCTCAATTTGCACGGCCGTTGACACCCTGGAAGTTAGTTGCACGGATGCGGCTGGACGTACACATGTACAAATGCAATGATGTAATCAGAACTGGCACAGGGGCCAGGGTGCCAGTTTTATACTTTGAGTCGGATTTCACAGAGCGTGACTGTAATATTTCATGCACGATACACTCCCTTCTCTGTGGCAAAAATGAATTCTTCGGTGAGATTCTAGTCATAGAGGGGTTTGTGTGGTGGCTGTGAAATCACTCTGGGTTTTAGCCTGGATGTCTCGGCCTTTCCCTGGCTGTTTGTGGCTGTGTGTAATTTTTAGGTATTTCTCCGGGCACGACCACAACTTACAGCATGTGCGTACATCGAATCACAGTGTCGAGATGTTTGTCGTGGGTGCTGGTAGTTACACGACGGCAAGTATGGCGCACAAGGTAGGTCACATGCGTTGCAGCTACGCTGCTTGTAGTGTGATCCAGTTTTGTTAGTATTTCATTTCGAATTGTTACGGTTGTCTGCGACCTCCTGATGACGGTCATGATGACCAAAACGTTGGACCATTCACAAGCCTTTATGTGAAATGCAGCTGTTAATGTCTTAGGAAGCTGCAATTAGTGTCATGCAAAATGTTGCACTTTATTTCAAGTACACGTTATGTACTGTAAAACCGGAAAGTTTAACGACCAAAAAGTATAATGTTTTTGTAATTTTGGCATGATAACGTGAAGTTTAACGATGGCTACCTGGCCACCCAGCTGTATGCGCATCTTTACACAGACATCTCAAACCGGGTTTTTGTATTTGTAATGTTACTAATGTATCCATATGGCAGAGATGTTTCACATGTGTGTTCGAAGCTTGTTTCTTGGCATGACTTTAATCCTAGTACTTGTATATGTGTGTTGTGCTGCTTATTTGTAGGCAACTGTTCCGATTGAATTCTTGAAGTTCCACAGTGGTGCCTGGCAACGAGGTGGCATAGCATCCGTGTCTGTCGGTGGCTGTGCGAGCACGGTGACACTGCACCATGTCAATCCCACAACAAGTGAGTTGCGCCGACAATGTGCGTGGCCTGTGTATGCTACGGGCATGTCTGGAAACGAAGATTATCAGAGTAAGGTTGTCAGCGCCCCATAATAGGGAGGTTTTGCTCTACGTAATTACGTATGAAAATCCGTATGTCGTACGCGCCGGGGAGCGAGGGCAACTTTCATACGTAAATCTCTATACGGATTTCCGTAGGAAAGCTCTTTCCTACGTTGGGCCCTCCGTAGGACTTTTTGAAATATTTTTTCGCATTTGACCATGGCAACATTCAAGCCGCGCGAAACACAAGGTACACAGACCGTACACCACGTGCAAAATATATTGGAAAACGCGGTTTCGGTTCATGGTGCATGCGGTGGGCGCATGCAGCCAACGCGTCTCCAAAGCAACAACGCATGTTTAGCAGTCGTGGAGAAATCACGTAGAGCGAAACCCAACAGCTCTGATTTTTATTTTTTTACGTATGAAAATTCCGTGCAGTTCATACGTTATTTTCATACGTAATTCCGTAGAGCGAAACCTCCCTATTATTATTATTATTATTATTACTATTATTATTCACACATATCCGCCGGATGAGTACGCGTGGCCCATGCGTCATGGGGACCCATGAATACAAACCAGCATATGTTCCCTCAGCAAGCAAAGATAAAGGAGAGCCCACAGCGAAAACAAAAGCGAAGAGAGATGAGGCCATAGGCAATGAAAACTCAGCTCCCCATAACTGCACTGTATTCTTGGGGCTGCTCGTCCGTGAAAGTTTCGAAAGTGGAACGGGGACCAACTAAGCTTCCCTGAAGATCTTTGTTTTCTTCTCTTTCCTTTGCCTTTCGCCAGATCCTCCTAGTGCCACAATTGCATACAGCTATACAGTGGCCAACCCGCGCAAGCGACCGGCCTGCTGTGTACCGGAGACATGAGCGTCCAGCCTTACTGCTGGATGGAGATCGACGCTACGTTGAACGGACACGTGCCCGTGCAGACTTAAATAGCCATCTTGAGTTTACCATTATTTATTCGCTTTCCAATTGAGTTGCCCCTCCCCCATGCTGTCAACACTGCACTGTCATCACATACCCAGGCATCATCACCCTGCTGTTGTTAGGAATCTCCATGGTCGACACTACACTAGTAGTAAAGCCTCTTGGACGAGCAGAATGAATTGCACATAATTATCATCAAACAAATCCAGTAAACTACTACGAAGTATAAAATCAATTTAAACACTAGTATGTCAATTGGAACACAAAATAAGACACTACTCTAGTAGCCCATAGCATTTGATCAAAGGAGGAACAGCGTTCTCTATTCTCCTGGCCTCGGTGCTTCGAAGCTTCTCAAACGTGTTTCTTTCACGATCCTACAGCTGATGTGCATGTACCGCAAAGGCTTACTTGTATGTGAAAACTATAATAATAATAATAATAATACGAAGTGTCAAGTAAAGTCGGCGGAATAGCGCGAGCTCCAGTGTGGGGAGCAAACCCTTTCTTAATAATAATAATAATATATTATAATTATTATCTTCGACCAGTACTATTCCCAGTTCAACCAGTTGAACAATAGATCAGCACGTATACAATGTATCGGTACGTGTACAATGCTGAGATTTTCAACCCCAAACTATCACACGATGTGTCCGCAACACAGGATACGACACTCTGCGTCTCTAGTCTTCTACTCTGTACTCTGCTGCTTGTCTACAAACATTTAGAATACATTACATGTACTGGTGTTTTCTTCATGAAATATTCAGTGAGCTGGATATCAAATTCATTTCGAAGCGAATGTGGTTTAGCTTCCAGGCCAGGGAGCTTATGTAACTGTTACTCTTGGTGCTGTCAAGAGGACATAACCCCGGGTTATGTACTCTTGGTGCTGTGTGTACTTGGTATACAGCATGAGTCGCTAGTGCATCGCTGTGCCACCGCCTTGCCAACGTGTCTCAACTGATGATGTAATTAGGTGCTCTTGACACAAGCAAGAGTCAGCATATCATCAAGAGTACAATCATACTAGTACTCTTGATGTAATTCACGTAACATCTGTACACGTTTTGTTCCACTTTTTGACAAAATAAAACAGCTGTGCTCCTCGGTTTATGTATACTGCACTGGAGTGCAGCACCGCACAGAAAGATTGTACGTTTGCATGAACATGACTGTACAGCAATGCTGACAAGAGGACATAACTCCACTCTTGATGCTGTTGTACGAGTATGGGAGCAATATGCAGTCCAGCAATGGTTACTGATACCGGGAATAGGGACAATAAAGTTGTACCAATGACGGATAATACCGTAAAGTACCGTTGATCCCCCCCTGTCGATTTTCTACATGTGAAGCGACTTCGGCGTACACAACGAAATACGATGTTGAACCGACGCATGCACTGCTGTACACAATACATGCCAATCCCGGATGAAAATGAGCACAATCCAGCACATCGAGTCTGATCCTCTACGTTGTTGTACATCGTACTGCACTTGACAGCCTTGATCTAATTCCCGCCCCCCCCCCCCCCCCCCCCCCTGCCGAAAATCCAGCTGGGAAGCGACATGGCGTGGGGGGCAGACCAATGGTACTTTACGGTACATTATATTGACGCCCTGTTTTTGATTCCACAAATCATTATGCCCACGTTGCTTTGTACAGACAGATCAGGCACATGTAGGTACCAGTACACTAGTACTAGTAACACCCAATTCAACTCCTGCGGATGCATCACTTACTCCAAACGCACTCATCCACTCAATTCCAACGTGACAGAATGTTCGTCAAGTACATGTACTGACTACGGTTTTAAAACGCACGCGGCCAGCTTCAAACAGGCTCGAGAGTGTAGATGTAGGGATAAATTTGACGACTCGAAGCAAGTTTGCTTCAAGCCTTCGTGCTGACAGTGGAGCAACACAACAGCAATAGGGTCAATAGCTTCCACGCGATCCAGTAGCACACAGCCAGCCCTATTCGGAATAGGAAACCAAATGAAAAATGAAACCATCCGTACAATGAGAAACATCAGACAACTGGCATAAAAGCATAGCAAAACAGCACTGGATTAAAAAAGCAGCATGCACCTGCATAATTATGGTGCAATGTGCACATTGGCACACACACACACACACACACACACACACACACACACACACACACACACACACACACACAGGCAATGGGTGATATAAACACTGCGAGAATGTGTATTTCTATGTCTAGTGTGCAGCTTGTGGTTGCTGCTGCTGCTGCTGTTCATGATGGGGAGGTTGCTGCTGCTGCTGTTCATGATGGGGAGGTTGCTGCTGCTGCTGTTCATGATGGGGAGGTTGTTGCTGCTGCTGCTGCTCATGATGGGGAGGTTGTTGCTGCTGCTGCTGCTCATGATGGGGAGGTTGTTGCTGCTGCTGCTGTTCATGATGGGGAGGTTGCTGCTGCTCATGATGCTGCTGTTGCTGCTCGTGATGAGGTGGTTGCTGCTGTTGCTGTTGCTCATGATGAGGGGGTTGCTGTTGCTCGTGATGTTGCTGCTGCTGCTGTTGTTCGTGATGAGGGGGCTGCTCGTGTTGTTGCTGCTGCTGCTCGTGATCACCTGGTTGTGGGATGGCATGCTGCGGTTGAACGTTGCCATCGGCCACGGGCTGCTGGTGCTCAGGCAGCATATCATGCGGAACACCCGCGTCGCCGCCCTGCATCTGGGTCTCATGCTGGCGACGCTGCTCCTCCATCAGCCGCTCATACTCCTCATACTCTTCATCGGTGTAGTCATCGTCGTAGTCGAGCCCCTTCCACGAATCATCGTTAGCAAATGACTTCAGCTTGGTGGACGCCAGGAACTCCTCCATCGACAGAAGTCCGTCACGATTCTTGTCGACTTCGTGGACGACATGCTGGCGCATACGCAGCAGCTCCTCGTGGTACTCGGCAGAAGCTGGGTCATGATGAATCTTCTCGACTTCGTTTACCAGCATGCCCTCAACCTCGCCGGCATCCAGCTGTCCGTCCTGGTTATGGTCCTGCATGTGGAAGAATGTCTCCACATTGAACGAGTCTGGGTCGAAGCCCTCATCCTCCCACTCCTGTCGTAACTGCTGCTCGCTGCCAGGATGGTGAACCTAGGAGCACATATACACAAACACCGCCACCACGAAGAGAGATAGATAGATAGATAGATAGAGAGAGAGAGAGCGAGAGAGAGAAAGAGAGATATGGAGATAGATAGATAGATAGAGAGAACAAAGAGAGATTAGGTTGCGAGGCCTTTCCAGGACGAGCAGCTCAAATGTTATACAATACCTGGACACCAGAAAAAGAGCATACGAGTATGTAGGGTGAGGTCAAGGAAATGACAAGAGCCCTCCAGTACAACCTCCAGGGAGTAGCAAGCATGATATAGGGCTTGAAAGTGCTACGTCACAGCATAGCAACAATTTCAAAAATTCAAAAACTGGATCCACTTGGATCCAGTTTTTGTATGGATCCAAGCACATTTCAAGCGGTCTTACCCACAGCATGGTGATGTAGCCAGTGAAACTGACTGATTTGGCTACTGGGGGCGGGGTTACAACTGGTGGCGAAATAAAAGTCACACCTGCATGCGACATGAGTGGGTTGCTATGCACCCACATACATAGGCAATAGCAAAGTCACACCTTAGTGGATCCAAAAATAGAAATCTGATGTCAACTTACTACTCCCTGGCCGTTTTGACGTCATCACTTTCAAGCCCTATTGAATCTGTTTGGACCAGTCGAATGATGCAATCCAAGAAGTGATGAACATGCTTTTAAAAAGATATGCATTCCAAACTGTTTGTGCATCTCACCTACAGTGCTGGCCAAAGAAATCCAACCTCATGAATAAATCAGTGCCGGGCGCTACGCAGCCCTAGCACTACGCATACTGGTCTGTGTACTGGAATGCGGCACTACTTTATTCATGAGGTTGGATTTCTTTGGCCAGCACTGTGCTTGTCAGCTGGATAGAAGCCACTGCAAGCCTACATGCACTCACCTTGGGGTGATCCCTGGCCTTTGCAACCTCAGCCTGGTGCTTCTCGTCAGCCTCTAAGCGGTCCTTCTCGGACAGGGATTTGAGTTTCTGTCGGCGCTCGTACTCTCGCTCCATCTCGAACTTAACAAAGTCGTCGTGGTGACGCTTCTCCGTGTTCTCCATCTTCTGGTTCTGCTCCTGCAGCATGCGCTCGATTTCGGCATTGTCCTCGGGCAGTTCATCCAGATGCAGGCCGTCGGGTCTCTCGTCAAAATCATTCTCCTTGTCAAAGCGATGCCGCTGTAATCTCCGCTGCTCATCCACTTCATCTCTCCACTCTTCCTCCTCAAGTGTGCGTTCATCCTTGTGTCCGCCAGGCAATTCCATCAATTTTGCCAGCTCATCGGGAGACAGCTTTTCCAGCTCCTTCTTCAGCTCCGGATCACCGCCAAGCTCGGTCATAAGCTCATCAAGATATCTTTGGTACTCTGCTCTGCGCTCTGGGGACAAGGGAGCACCGGTCACAGGCTCCTCTTTCTTCTGGTGGCCTTTCTCCTTTGGTATGGGAACGGCAGCACAGAGGGCTGCGCATAGCAGCAGACCAAGGCCAAGGCTCCTCATCCTCACAGAGAGAATTGCAACTCCACGACAGACGTGATCAAGATCAGCAATTTATTACAGGTTGGCAAAAAAATCGTCCGAGAGCCCGTAGTCAGCAAATTTGGTAAGCCAGAAGCACGTGAAGTTGAAGAGAATGCAAAACTAATGGCAGTGAAGAGCCTTCTTTCCACATGTGAATGAGAGAAGGTTGCTGATCAATAATATCACTTCCTTTGTTCAGAATCAAAATATCAAGTGGTAAAAGGTTCTGGAGTTAGTTTTTCTCCAGCCCAGGATGCGTGCAGCTGACGTATCGTGACGTAGATCTACGTGTACGGTGTAGGATCGATCGATCACAGACGTGGAACTGTCACCATCGCAACTAAAACTCAGCTATCGGGGGAAAAACATAATTATTTGAGCCGTTTTTTTCTTTTTTTCGGTTTTGGCCTAGCAATTCGCGCAAGCAAAACTAAAGTTACTTTTTAGGGAAAGTCCCATTCCCTACACAGTACAGTCAGTACGTACGCGCTCGCACGTGCTCTGAATGCAATGCAAATCAAAAACAAAAACTACTGTTTTGCACAGGGCTAGGCTATGATCGATCATGATGATAGCGGGGGAGACAATTATGTCATGTACTCAGTAAAACAAGTCGTACAAACGACAAAGATTTGAAAACCTCTTGCCTCCTGTGTTGGTCCGGTGAGGAAGTCTCTTACATCAGAAGAAATAAAATAGTTTGGAGGAGGTGCAAGAAGCTCGAAGAGCTGCGATGGATTTTAATTTCGGCAACTTTGAGCGCCTCGCAGATGCTGGTTTCGATGACGATGATGATGATGATGATTTGTGTATGGTTCCCACTGTCCGTGTAGCTCCAGGTCCCCCTGTACCAGTGCTACCACGAACTACTCCCAAGTCCAACATAAGCACGAGCAATGACGGTTCTACTGGCGCTCCCGGCACTACTAATGGAGGAGATCGGAAGTGGGGAGATGTCGCGCCTGGCGCACAAACAGGTCGCGGGAGAGGTCGATTGCGGAATACTGGTCAGCAGCAACAGCACGCAGGCACTGACCAATTGTCCTCAGGCGGACCACAAAACCCCTGGACGCGCAAGAGTGGTCGTAGTGATCGGCTTAAGCAGGCTGACTTGGAGAGCCTTAACATGGCAATACGACTGGGAAGACTTGAAGTTGTAGAATCCCTTCTCTCTGAAGGTGAGAACGAAAATGTTATTTTACTACAATACCTAAAAAAATGATATTGTCACTAATGGTATTCATGATAGCAAGATTGAAGAGTCCGTACCGGTAACATGCCCCCCGCCCCCCCCCCCCCCTCCCCTCCCAAGAATGTGCAGCTAGCTAGCATTGCATTCACCTAGCGCCGGGCGAAATCCCTACATTACGTCGTGTACGTCACGTCCCTGAATGGACATCGGCAGGAAGAAATGACGACACTGTAGCTTGTGCCAACCGGCACGGCAAAGAACATTGCACTACCGTTGAGGATCAGTTGATAAACACTGATATCCGTGTAACACAGCGAGATCTTCCCGCTTGACGCATTCTCTATTTCATCAATCATTTGAAATTCTAAGTATCTTCGAGTAAAGCACCAGAAACAATGGTGTCAAGGTCCGTGGCTTTGTCGAAGACCCGAGGGATGATGATTTGTTTGAAGCTGTTTTCTTTGCACGAGGAAGCCTAACCCCATGCAAGCAAAAACAAATTACTTGAAAGTTGCACAACCATGTACAGTGGAGATTGGATATAACGACCTTGGGCATAACGACAAATCGAGTTTAGCGACACAATTCTGGTGCCTAAGTCGTTTAGCAAGTCCTTTCTGTACATTATAGATCGGGTATAACGACCTCGAAAATAACGACAGATCGATTTTTGTGCCCGAAGACCTGAAAAACAGTGAAAATACATCGGATATAACGACTTTCCTCTTGTACTAGGCAGACTGGCAATCCAGGCATGTCTGGAACATGGTATATTATGGCTGTGCCACGTGCCCGGACCTCCGGGTCACTCATGTGTGCTTTATATTGCACGTTGTAGCCGCAGTGCAGCGGTGCGGGATGACTTTACCTTGAACAATGCATGCAAGACACATGACTGTACAATCATACACATCTGTTATCCACATGTACCATCATGTACATGTATATCTACAATGCATTTCTTTCTTTTTGATATACATATTGCATACTAAATGTGAAGATCGGGTTTAGTGGCAGATCGAATATAGCGACATTTTGCTTTCTCCCGAAAGAGTGTCGTTATATCCAATCTCCACTGTACCGTATTTTTCCGGTTGTAGGTCGGCCTTTTATGACTAAAAATGGAAGGAGAAAGGGTGGGGTCGACTTATAATATTCGCGGGATCCGCGTTAGCATCACTTGAATGTTCAGAAACACACAAGCTATAGCCTTCGCTTCCGCAGGCCACCACTATGCCTTTACACCTTAGTGGGGTCGACTTACAGCCGGGATTCGACTTATAACCGGGAACTATCAGTATCCTAAAAAAATGACCTGCACTGCATGCACGAGTGCACCATGTGTACACATTTTTGCCAGTTTAGTGGCCTTTTTCAAGGATTGGGACCTTATACCCTCCACTAATGAATGTTTACATGATTTGTTGATGTGTTAGTAGCAGGGAGTAGTTAGTAGTGCTTCGTTGGGTGATAACTTTAACCTCTTTAGCACGACGCTACCTGAGCGCGCCCCACGTCAACACCTGTAAAAGTCGCATTTTCCCATGAAAGTACTAGCTGCTCAAGGATCGATAACTTTACCTTCCCTTGGACGAATTCCACGATCTTGAGCTTCCTGGAAAGGTCTGGAGACGAGGGACAAACTGGTGTCAAACCCAGCTCGGAGCGAAACCCAAACCCCGTGCTACAGTCTGGCAAACTTCATCCACGCGCTCGACAGACTTGAGCACGGCCAAGACTAACCGAGCTCAAATATTCAGCTGCCATTTCGGTCTCCTTGCTCGTATCGAGCTCAAATTTTTTGTGATGACTCACGGGATCCACTACCATCATTTGCATCTTGTTTCCATGGCAGCAGGTAGCGCACAAATGATCCATGATGGAAAATACGCGTTCTGCAGAGCGCGCAAAAAAATCGAGTTGTAATTTGCCGTGTCGAGTCGCATATCTCAACAACCGGTAGTCGCATCGCTTCGGCGATTGCTTCTATCGCCAGCTGGGAGTTTTCTCTTGCAGATACATGTTTCGATTGTGAGAATCGACCAAGAATTGAGTGAGTTACGATAGTTTGAACAAGTCACTATGGACTCAACACGCACCCCACGACTATGAGATGCAGGTTCACTGTACAGTGTACAGCGCGCGTCGTACTAGTACGACGGCCGTGGGGCATGCAACTCATGTGCGTCGTACTAGTACGACGCTCGCGCTAAAGGGGTTAAAAAGCAGAACTGAGACCTCCGGATACGGGGGTCGACCTATAACCGGGGTCGACTTACAACCGGTAATGCGACATTCATCTCTTGCATATAGGGCCATGAACTTCATAATAAATATAAGGACATGCATGGTCTTATATTTTCGTTCGAATAACGTTTGATTATTATTCGAACGAAAAAGGACTGAAAACAGCGACTTATCGATATATAAAACCATGGGAACAGTTCCAGCTTCAGGCCCTTCTTCTCGGTGTTATGGTCTTGTATGCGCCAGATTACGGTAAAAATTCACCCCTACGCTGTTTAGTAGGTTGTCAACAACTTGTTAGTTTGTCGATCCTTCTATGTGTATGTGTACGAGGTTGTGCATTTTACCGTGTTGTTTCTGACTACTCTTCATTGCGCTGTTTCTATCACATCTCCGTGGATAAAAATTCATTGCGCTTGGTCAGTTTCTCTTTGCCTGTATTCCTCCTGATGAGAAGGCAATTAAAGTTACGCTTGGAAAAGTTTGGATGCAGTGAATGGGATTTCGGTCTTTGACCACTTTGTGGTGGGTCTGATCTACTCGCCTCCCACCGCTTAGGAGCTGCATCTGCGCCTTGATCCTAGAGGGTGGTGGCGTTCCTACGGATGCGGAAAACTCGGCTTCCAGCCGAGTCTCACGCGAACCGTGATTTTTTTGGAAAAGTTTCCAAGAGCCTGAAGCTTGTTCCTTTCTTGAGTATGAAATCTAGTTCAGATTTATTTCCAGTTATCCATAGTTTTTCAGAATGAAACTGGCCTCAACCAACGGACCCACTCACCCACAAACGAAAACTTTTTACTGTAAGTGTAAGGTACCGCGAGAGCGCCCCACCTTGATTTTACAGCCAGGGAAAGGGCATTTGTATGGGAGAGTGCAACAGCGCCTGTACGGTGTGCGGACCTTGGTGTACTATGGTAGCACTTATCAGGGTTTTTTTTTGTGGAGCTTGTGTCCGCTCCAAGGTAAATTGAGTAAGGATTGGCTGCACGACGTGCAATGTGTGTACAAGGTACGTGTCGTGAGACCTTCACACAGGACACCACCTCCACAATACGACCACGAAAGGACGAGATGGCGGTGCGCTCTCGCGGTACTTTACGTTAGTTTCCTGAGAAAAAGGTCAATAATTTTGGAAAGCTCCCAAACTCAGCCACGGCTTTGTTGCAAATGGTCTTAGATTATAGTAGTGAGTGTTATCTGCAACAGCAGGCGAAGCATGAGGCAGATGCAGGTTGCAACACATCAGCCGCTAAGGCAGGCTGAAGGACGCGTTGCCTGTACACCAGCGTAGGTGGTGTATATGGCAGCGGACAGGAGCTCAGCTGCATCCCTATTGGCGTTTCAAAAGTATAGTTCTCTAGACTTTTTCGAATTTGGTTTGAGCTTTTTGAGGAATTTCTTCGGGATATTTGCTCAGGCAGTTCCCCAGATTTTTCTCAAAATTAGAGATTTCTAGGCCATTGGATAACAAACGCCCAATTTCGGAAATTTCGAATACCAGCAGCTGCTATTTTGATGACTGAACTTTAAACGATAACACATATTCACTAGTTGAGAGAATGGAAAATGGAAAAGTCTGAAGAAAAAAATCGACCATCACCACGATATCGTTTTTGTTTTGTTTCGGTCTGGTTTTTTGTTCGTTACAGGACCCGGTGCCGGTGATGGCCGTATTCCTGTGGATACACCCATGCCTGGTGGTTGGTCACCGTTGATGTGTGCTGCGTCGAGTGCCTTGCCGGAGATGGTGGCTCTCATTCTGCGCTTCGAGCCGAACGTCAACTACGATTGCGGTCAGTGGCACACGCACAGTGCATGGGCATTGAACACGCTTCTGCATTTCGGTGTACAATCCGATTGTTTTGATGTTCAGAAATCTTAATTTTTGGTTATTGCGACGTTTGTTAATGTCACTGCAATTGAACCTTCTCTGTATTGTTGAACAGGTAAGAAGACTGCACTAATGGTAGCCTGCGATACTAGCTCGTCCCAGGAGACTGGAGTGCAGGAAAGTGTCAAGGTTCTCATTGAAAGCGGAGCAAAGGCCAATATCAGAGACAGGTAGGTTCTTGGTGTAAGCAAGAGTGCGTAACTCCCAGGAGTACTACTAGCAAACTAGTATACTACTTCACTATCAGTGCTGTCCTGTCAGAATGTCAAGGTGACATCAATTTTTTATGATGCAATACGTGTTGTACGCATATCATCCGACGTATCCTGGACCAGTATCGGACGAATCCCATTTTGATCCTGCACAAACTTGTTCAAGGAAATATGTGTGGTGCGTTGACACCCAGTGCACGCATCGTAAATCACCCGGGCGAGGAGCATGCAGTATAATAGTAACGTCGACTTGAAATTCCGTCAAGACGGCACTGGTATGCGGGAGTTGGACACTCTCGGGGTTATGTACAATACTCTTGTTGCCAATGTTTGGCGTTGAAGAAACCTGAAGTTTTTGCTCTTTCTTATTATCCCCTGTTTATTTTGGCATTTCCTCCGCTCCGGAAGTTTGAGCTCACGCTTCCTGCCGACTGACTTGACACTTGACTAGCGCTCACGACTGGAGCACACAAAGAAGCACGTCGAACCATCCACTTGGCGAACCTGCAAGAAAGCACCACTCCCTGCTTAATGCTGCATACGTCAGTGTTCCCATCACTTCATATGTGACACGGACTCACTGGGTGTGTGTGTCACACTGGAAACGGAGTCTTACAGTACTGTCGGGCGCCGAAGAACGGACCGCCGAAGAACGACCAGGCTAGAATTTCACCAATTTTTAAGAATAGTGTAGGCTGGATTTTTTGCAGATAAGAACGGAAACCGTAATTATAATGTATACTCGGACGTATAGCTCTGCATTAATGTACAATAATGTAAGACTGTACCATCGAATAAGAACAAACCTGCTGTGTTTGCTAAAAATAAGAACGGGCTAGGCTAGAGCCCTGACCCCCAGTTCTTCAGCGCCCGACAATGCTTTACTGTTAGTTGGTATCACCAGGGAGTAGTAAAATACCGGTAGTTTACTACTCCCTGGTACGAGTATCACTAGTGATGTTTGGGCTGCTTGAGTGCAGTGTATTGTAGTGCTCCTGCAGCACAAATTTCATTTGCCTACTCAAGCTCAACTGAGGAGGGGTGAATTCCCTCAAAAGACTCTGTCTTAAGCAGAGAGCGGCGCTTTCTTGCACGCTCGCCATGTGGAAGGTTCGACGTGCATCTCGCATGCCCCAGGCGGCAGTCGCGAGTCACTCAAGTGTCAGTTAGTCGGCAGGAAGCGCAAGCTCCAACATTCGGAACAGCCACCTATTTCAGATATTACCAGCAAAATTGCAACATCTTGTTGCTCATGACAAGCAAGGTCCCATGTTCGAGTCCTGGTGGGATTTGCTTTTTTTCTCTTTTGAGGCAGTTCACTTCCCTGACAATTTCACAAATCCCAACATCTCAGTTTATATATTTACCCTGGCTGTCGACAAAATTAAGACAGCGCAGTGCGTATGTCTCTGTATGGATATGACTGCATGTTCTATATTGTGCGTGTGTGCGCGTGTGTGTGTGTGCTGTTGTTGTTGTTCTGTAGCCATGGTATGTCACCGCTGATGATGGCGGCACGCAAGGGGCGTCTCGCCGTGTGCCGCATGCTGCTACAGCACGGGGCGTCCGTGTGTCTCGCCGATTTAACGGGAACCACGGTGAGTGTTTGCTGCCAACGGGATTCCCGTGTGTGTCTGTCTGTGTCAATATCTGTATCTATTTCTTTCCGTATCACAGCTGCCCAGTGCCCGACATCTGCTAAAATGGCATTGTTGGTGGCCAGTAGCCTTCGTGATGCCCCTGCCTGTATATACTGTCATACTGTATTGTGCAAATAATATTTTCCATCGCAGCAATGTTCTGGTCTCAAAGTGTCAAGCCAAAAATGCCCGAAAATAGATTTGTGGATTTACAGTACGTCTGCTATGGAAAACGAAAATTCTGGACTGTTTTTCGAGCCAGTGCGTGCACTTAAAGCAAGGCGTATTGTTGTCTTTTTGTGTGAAATGCAGGGACATTTTACTTCGGTGTTTGTGCAACATTACGGTAACCGTGTAATTCTGGAATTTTGCTATTTTTGTGCAGGCTCTGATGTGGGCAGCGCAAGAGGGACAGCTGGCCATCGTGCGTGTGCTTGTGCTGGCTGGTGCCGAGCTGAACCAGGAGAACAACGCGTCCGAGACCGCCGAGAGCATGGCATATGCAGCGGAGCATACTCCTGTAAGGAACGCACTGGTGTGCTTGTGTGTGTGTGTGTGTGTGTGTGTGCACGCGTGTGTGTGTGTGTGTGCGTGTATGCGTGCGTATGTATGTGCATGTGTGTGTTTGTCTAACTACTTCAGCGGAAGCACGACGAAATCCAAAGAAAATCTAAACCGAATCTGCTTATGCTTGTAAGCGCCTGTGGCTGCCTTTATTCAAAAGAGGGCTATATTTCTTTCACCGTCCCTACCCCTTTCACCTCTCCTGGACGAAATACTGAAACGGTACGCTGTGGATTACACAGGCGACTGGTTTAATTTCATGACTATGGCTTAATTGTTATGGCGTGCACTGACATGTGTTGCTGCTCAGGTATGCGACTACTTGGAGCAAGTGCGTAACGAACGGCGACACCAGCCGCTGGACCACGTCTCCGATGATGATGGTGGCAGGTGAGCTACAATAATAATAAGTCTACTTCAAAATATAATTATATTTATCAGTCTAGGGTCCACGGTTGTGTACCACGGTTGTGTACATTCAGTGTCCGTGCCATTTTGTTTTTCACGTGGTACTTGGTGTAATAAATAGTGGTAGCCAGGTCCCTCCAGTGTGGAGCAACCCCTTTCCTATGCTATGGTACGGGTGTAATCGGTGAAAACCGTCTTTCAGCCAATCACGTTTTCTATCGATTCGTTTTCAAGATCGACTTACTAGAGAACCATGCCACATTTAGGGAGGATTCCTTGACTGAAGGGCTATAAGATTGCGGAAAGCATTTTTCAAATCAGTTCTCCAAGACCCGAGAACGGGCACTGAAAAGTCCAGTAATAGGGGTACGTACTGTTGCTCAACATTTGCAAGCTTGATTTCCCTGGGTGAAGAAACATCTCCCCTTAAAAATCTTGATTTTTCCTTGTGAAGTATTATCTCCCCCTTGGAGCTGAATTTTTCTCAAGCACGTTTGCTATGCGTGCTGTGTGCATCTGTAGTGCGAAAGCCAATCGGTCTAAAAGTGCCGTGGGACAATTGGAGATATTTCTGGATGGTCTACGACTCGGTCATCTCATCGAGTTGTTCAAGGTGAGCGGCTAGCGCAGTCTATTTTCAGTGCTTTCGGTGCATCTCTTTCATACCTAAATTTTCAATACGCTGTAGCAGCACAAACACTGGCACGCATCATCCAGTAGGGACTGCTTCTCTGTACCTAAATTTTCTGTTCACCTCACCTGGTCTTTTGGCCCGATATCTAAACTTTTGAAGTTTTGAGCACCTTCATATTATAATTGTGAATCTCCTGCACTGCTCTGTTCATCATCCACACTGGATCGGTCTTTGTGTTTTTATCCCCCGTGTGTCCGTGACTCCTGCGAATCGGTTCTGTTTATTCGCCTTCGCTTCGATTTCTGTGCCGGTTAGGAAAACAATATATCGTTTGCTCAGCTGGCGACCATTTCTGAAGATGACTTGGCGAAGGTGAGCTATATTTCTCTTGTTGACAATGGCATCCAGCTGCTGTCGTACTCTCTTAGTCTACCGTATGCAGTTGTAGTTTGCAAGAGGTACACAAAAGGAAGTAACATAGGCCTGTTTTGTTGTTACTTTCATGGCAAAAAAAACTATCATCAGCCAACATAACTACGCTCTGCCCATTCCGGGCATTTGAGCATCATCACAGGTTAAGGCGCACTCTGCCTCTGTGCAGCTGTAGTTCAGGGGGATTCGGAACACTGTTTAACACTTCAGTATAAAGTATCCTGGATATACCCTACGGGGAAACAGGTCAGTATCAACTACACTCCATAGAACATACAGCCAGACCTCGCTTATCCGGTCCTCTTTTATCCGGATCGCTCGCCAGCCGGAAGAAAATCGTTGGTTACCGATTTACAGCATATGCCATGCATACATACAGTATATGTGTATGATTATCCTATCCGGATATTTTTTGTGGAAACGGATGTGTGCGGTTATGCGAGGTCCGACTGTAACATACCATGTACTGTTGTTGGATTTGTGCATGGTCGTTACCTTACTGTAAAACCAGGAAACTGTTGCGCCGGTGTTAGTTTGCAATTTGCTTGCGCCGACCAATTTGCACCTGGACATGTTTGCGATTGGAGTCAATTTCGTAAGTTTTATTACTGCAACTCTACGTTTTGCGCCGGCTTACTTTTGCGATTTCACTCCTATCGCGAAAATCGCAACGGTTTCCCGCGCAAAGGTTTCCCCGTTTTAACAATGCGATAAATAGAACAAATGATGCCAACATAATACCATGTAACAATCATGAAATGCAAAAATGTATAAAAAAATGTGGGCTGGGCATTCCTTGGCCGGGTGGGTGCCAGAGCAGAAGGAACAGCAGTGCTTGAAGCGGCAGAAGGAACAGCAGTGCTTGAAGCGGCATTGATTGAAGGAGCAGTTGCTCGTATTGAACTTGCGGCAGATGGTGGACTGTCCGGGTGTGTGAACACTTCCTCCACCTATTGCGCCCGAGGTGGCATGCAGCGTCCGGCTGTCGGAGCCACGAAAAAGACAATTGTTGGCCAGGTGGCCCACCTTCCGGCACTTGGAACACGTGGGCAGTGCCTGGCCCGTGAAACACACTGTGTAGAGTGCCGTGTCAAGCGATGAAAGCGGGGTGCGTGCACGAGCCACCGATTGCCGAACCCGGATGTCATACTCAAGCACCGCAGCCAGGCGGTACTTTGCTGCGGCTTGCACAATACGTAGCTGGTGTTCTGCTAAGCTAGCAGCGCAGGCCGGGTCGTTAGAAGTAGCTATGATCGTGAAGATAGACCATGCTTCTAGCCACAAAGCTAAGGAGTCAATTCGCCTCTTGGAGGCTTGAGAGGCGGAGATCAACAAGCTATCGCCGTCCTCGCCTAATTTGACCCGCTTAGAAAGAGGCTGATCGACAGAGGGCCTCTCATACTTGGCGGGAAGTAGGAGCGCCAGATCAAAAAACTCAACCTTGCAAATTTTTGCAATGGATTCGTTACTCACATGACATACGCATGCAGGGAATGCGAGGGCAGAATCTACAATGTAAACTGGCCGGCATCTCAGCACGGGCAGAATTCTAATACATACCGGCTTGGTCTGATGGCCCATCAGACGCTCCCCGATCCGGTCCTCGAGATGCGGAGTGGGCCGACAACGCCGACGAGACCGAAGCCGAAATCATCTCAGCAGGAGACAGCTGCTGGTCAGGAGTGAAGGCCATACTGAATTTGGCAGTACGTTCCCAGGAATACGACTGTGGGAAGGCTACTATGCTCCTCGGCAACGACTTTCGCCGGAAAGGAAACCTTGCATTCGATGTCACACTACCTTGATTTTTTTCTTTTTCTTTTTCTTATTCTAATTTTTATTATTTTTGCGGGTTCGTTTACTGGTTGCCATGGGGCCTTTGGCTTGTTGGTGTCGTGAATGTTAACTACGGTTTGCAATGTGCAAACCTCCATAAAAAATGTGATTCATAAACGTTTTAGGAGTTGTCGGCATGTCCACAAATATCAATATATATTTTTAAGAGAAGATATTCGTTCGTTTGGGGGAGGGGGTTTGGGCCCTGTTCGTCTCGTCTTTGTGAAAAAAAATCCAACTCTATCTATGGATGGACACTGTGTAGACCTACACAAAGTGAAAGTCAACCTCGTGAACATAGCCAGGGCAAGGTTGTGCGACCGTGGCAACGTGAACCTACGGTATGGTGATTTTAGAGTTGCAGTTGGTCACGTTTCATAAGGAGATTGCACTTCATTAAAGGGGAAGTTAAGGCTAAAATCAAAATTTCACCAGTTGTAGTCTTCGGGGTGCTGAGTCGAATGGTCTTGGTCCGAGAAAGCTGAGACGCTCCCTTCCTACTTGAATCCCAATCGAACTCGCGCACTTCCACCGAAACTGGGTGACTGCGCCCTACTAGATGGGGATTTGTATGCAAAATGTCACTAAAAGCGCCATTTCATTCTTATAAAAGCACGGATGACCGCGATTGGCCCATATGTTGTAGTCTTTTGGACACTGAGTCGATTGGTTTTGGTCCGAAAAGGCTGCAATGCAGCGTTCCTCCTTTATTCCCAATCGAACATGGTTGAACAAGCGGTCACGTGCTCCTGGGTGCCCAAATCACCTGGTCACCACGCCAGCAGGCAACAACTTTCACACCAAGGTTCAACTCGAGTTCAACTCTAGTGACAGGACTGCACCCAAAAAAGGTCAAACAGGCTAGTAAGTTGTACCCTGCAGGCACGGTGACCAGGTAACTGGTGTACGCAGGAGCACGTGACTGCTTGTGTCAGAACGTCACGTGTGCTCAAAAGGTTAAGAAAATATCGATCCTCTGCATAAACATGTGTATGTTCATTTTGAGGGGGGGGGGGGAGGGGGAGAAATGAATTGTCTTGGAAAAATATCGATATTTACGGACGGCCCCTTATAAGCCACGCCAACCTGTTGACTGAGTGTGGCGTATACTCCGGAAACACAGTCATGTTGCACGGGTGTGCTTTGCTGACGTTTGTTTTTACGGCTGTGCGTGCGGTTTCAGATGGGCGTCGTCGACGGTCAAGCACGGCACGTCATTGCTGAAGGGGCGCGCCGTTTGGCAAACCCGTCCGAACAAGCATCCGCTGGTAGGGAGAGTGCAAGGGCAATGCATCGACATCAAATCAGGTATACAGTGTTTAATACTGCGTCCAGTAATGCTCAAATTAGCCCCGCAGAGTATGGAAGAGCGCCCTACCGCCGTGCCCCTTGGTCTTGCTGTGGAGCTAGTGTCCTGTCTGTAGGTCACACGACATGTACTGGCGTGGCCATTGAAATCCGATGGGATGACCGGGGCCGGCGGCCTTACTGCTTTTAGCGAGTACATGTACAAGTACATGCACTGTAGTTCACGTGCCCCGTGTAAAAATGAACCGGCAGTGCTCGTGGCTGCAAGGCCATCACCCCTTGCCTGCTTGAACGGATTTCAGTGTCCACAACGGTGCCTTGTTTACATGTGGCTCTTTCAAACTTGCCAACCATACCGGTTTTCCCGGTATACTAGCGGAAAACTAGGTTAACTACCGGCATACCGGGGATTTTTGACATTGATCGAAAAACTACCGGAATTGGAACTGAACCATGGGTGTTACAGAAAAGGTTGATTTGTAGTATGACAAGGGCCGTGCGGCCCTTCATTCACAGAGTCGCACGTGTAGGGGCGATCTGATAATGAAGAAACTCAGGTTTCAGGCGCAAAAATGCTCAAAAATTGCGCAAAAAATGGAAATGGCCGAAATTGGCGAAAACCAGTAAAGTAAGGGAAATGAGTGAAAATTAAGGGAAACTGGGTGTGTGACTAAGGGATTTGCTTTGGCTGGTTTGGCAAGTACATGTATGCTCTTTATAGTCAATCCCGTACTCCGTTTCCTTCAAGCGGACGCGAACTCCACACAAGCACATGCCAAGTGTGCCCTTAGTGCACGGTGGTTTTCACATCGTACAAACTTAGTTGCATTCTGCCATAATTTTCTTTTCCCTGTCCGTAAAATCAAGGTGGGACGCTCTCGCAGTACTTTATGGTATGTATTCATTTTTTCTGACAGCAAGGAAAGCAGAGAGTGAGAGGGGGAGGGGGGACGAGGGACCGACTACCCCATGGCTTGTGTTCTCGCAACTGCTAGTCTCAGCACGGTGTGCATAAAACAATCATGGCACTGTATGACACCGCATGTGGTGCATCAGTCACAAGAATGCGTCAAGCATGCAAACTAAACAAAGTCGCTACACGTAGTTTTCTGGCGTGGTTCGCCTAGAATAAGCTATGGCATGTGAGCAAGTATGCACGTGGAAGCAGCATCGGATAGGCTATCCCAGACATACACTATCCACTGTAGGTTGTGTTATGTTACCTTTATAGTTACTTCACCATAGCCAGGCATACCGGTGGATAGGCTTTGATTGGTGACGGTCAACGGTTGCCACCCCTGCTGAACACTCTCTCTTTCTCTCAGAGCCATCAGCCATCCAGTCCTCATGGAGCCTGGAAATTGCCGCCTTGAAAGGTTTGTTCCAAGACACATCAGGCGCCTGAGCGTGCTTGGTGCAAGCTCACGTAACGACTGCATGGTGCACGGTGCAGTTCTTGGAGCACAGCGAGTCTTGGTGTCCTGGGGTGTCCTGGGGTAGGTGGCATTGGAATGAGTCCCAGACCAGGGGGCGCTTGCGCAACGGCAGTGGTTCAATGACACGGCGAAGGGTTTCTTCGGTGAGGCTGTTGTCCATCCATACTCTACCAGCCCAATGACAAGACTAATTACATGGTGCAGTTCTTTGATCACAGTGAGTCTTGGTGTCCTGGGACATATGGCATCGAAATGAGTCCCAGGCCAGGAACTGCTTGCCCAACGAGAGTGGGCGAAGGAAGTCTCTTATTGAGGTGACACCTCCGACACAAACAAATGCGACATTCTTTTTTGTTACTGACTGGTTTCACTACAAAGTGTAGGTTGTTGTCCATCCAGACTCTACCAGCCCATGACAAGACTTGGCTGCTGGAGAACTCCTGCACTACAGCTGGGAGAGGCCGCTTACGGTTTAGCAGCACTTGCGGCTAGCATTTCGTCAATGGTGTTTGTACGCTGTACAACACAACCTTTTCTATGGTTGTTGTAGACCCCAAAGAAACCTACCTGTAGCTCTATGCCTTCGGGTGTTTGCACGTAGTCGTAGTACTTGTAATCACTTGTCTGCTCAAACTTGAGCGGATTTGGAGACAAGGTTAAGCACGGCTTTTGTGGCCTCTCGGACATTCTCTCATGAGGAAAAAACACTTTCGTTACAGTCACATTGCTGGGATGCAGCACTGTTTGCTTACCTTTTGCCCTAGCTCCTGTAGAGTAGCATTGATTGATGCAAACTGTTCAGCAGAATGTTGCTTCATGGTCCTAAAGTGTTGCTTGGTCTGCGGGGAAAGAGTTCAAATAGAACCGAAGAGACTCCATTCCACCCACCAGCTTATGACATTTTGTGGCCAGACGGATGCGGAGATTTAGCGTGTGTACCGAGTGTGCAGCGTTACTGTGATGTGGACCTTCTCGTGGCCCATAGTTTGCACCGTCGCATCTCTAACAAGTCGAAAACATCTTCGGTGAAAGACGGAGTTTAGAGATTCCGAGCTGAATTTCTTGTACTCTAGTGCCTCGCGGCTCGATACACCGTCCACCGATCGGGTCCAACCTCACAGCAGTCTCGTCGCATGCAAAGACGTTGCCGCATTCTCGGTACCCTCCTTACGCAGGTACATGACGAGATTGACGATTTGGTCAATGGAGTCGGCCAGTGGACGTTGGCATGCCGTGGTTGTGGCTCTCCGGGTGAAGCTGTTTCCCCGGAGAAACTTGCCCAACCAACCCAAACTAACGGTGAAACCCTGGCAGTCAGCACGCTCTATCGTAATCTGTTTCACTTGCAGACGAATCAGACAGCCAGACACAGTGACACTTTGTCGCAGGCGTCGTTTTCAGGAATCCATTCTTGAGTGTGTTCGTTAACGCCTCGATACGCTTGCTTCCTCCTTCCATGGTTGAGCCTCTCGTCTTCTTTGAACCACCGCTTGTCACAGCCACCTCGATTCTTGCCTTTGTCCGTCTCCAATTCTACAGCTGTTTTCTAACAACATCTGGGTTTGAAGTTTCCTATACGAATTTCACTACCTTGAGCTTGTTCTGAGTGGGAAATTGGGAATGGCAATTCTTTTCTTTCCTGATGCTAAATGAGCAGCAGGAATTCGTTCATGTCCGTTCATGATGAAGGGGAAACATAAAATGCCAAACTCGGAGTCCGAGCCTGCAAACAAAATTTAGCTTCACTAAACAGCTACAGAAATGTGCAGAACTGGTACTAATTTAGGCTATCAGTACTACCTTCTGGTTCACTGAGTTTGTACTTTTATCTCGAGGATCGCGCACTAGCTCTACACATGTATGCACGTGATCGAGTGTGACGTCAAACATGTATGCGCTGATCCATACAGTTCTCCGTTAACATAAGCGCTGCGCTTATGTTAACGGAGAACTGTACTTCTAGATCTTTGAAGCGCTCTTGGAGTACGCTTATACTGTAATCGATTCCGTGCTTGAAGTAGACATATTAAATATGGTATTAATATAATAATATTATACTCAACCTAGTTAATAATTATTATATATTATTATATAAAACAGAGGGGTTCCAGGCTGTCCAAGAGAGTGCTCAATACCGAGTGGTAGAGCTAGTTCAAACAATAGGAGGGCTTTCTCTGTCCTCCTATTGTTTGTTTTATAATATTATGTGCTTGTGTGTGTGTGTGTGTGTGTGTGTGTGTGTGTGTGTGTGTGTGTGTGTGTGTGTTGTGTGTGTGGTGTATGTGTGTGTTGTGAGTGTGTGTCTGTGTGTGTGTGTGTGTGTGGTGTGTGTGTGTGTGGTGTGTGTGTGTGTGTGTGGGGGCGTGTGTGTATGTATGTGTGTGTGTATTGCCAGGTTGGATGATGTGTGCCAAATCCTGCGTAATCTCAATCGCCACCTCAAGTTCCAGCGCGAGGCGGCTGAATACCTGTTGACGGAATTGCAACGACAGCCATTGAATATTAACCTTATACAGGTAGGTGTGTTTGGTTTGGTGTGTCTGTCCGAGTGTCTGTCTTTCTGTGTGTGTGTGTGTGTATGTATGTGTGTGTGTTTGCCATGTGTGTCTGTCTGTCGGTCTGTCTCTCTGCGTGCACACGCTTGCTGCACTGGCATTGCCTTGCTGTGACTTGGTCACATTAGGGAGGTTTCGCTCTACGTAATTACGTATGAAAATCCGTATGTCGTACGCGCCGGGGAGCGAGGGCAACTTTCATACGTAAATCTCTCTACGGATTTCCGTAGGAAAGCTCTTGCCTACGATGGGTCCTCCGTAGGACTTTTTGAAATATTTTTTCGCATTTTCCGCATTTGTCAATGGCAACATTCAAGCCGCGCGGAACACAAGGTACACACACCGTACACCATGGTACACCACGTGCAAAATAAGATGGAAACGGGGTTTCGGTTCATGGTGCATGCGGTGGGCGCATGCCGCCAACGCGTCTCCAAAGCAACAACGCATGTTTAGCAGTCGTGGAGAAATCACGTAGAGCGAAACCCAACAGCTCTGATTTTTACGTATGAAAATTCCGTGCAGTTCATACGTTATTTTCATACGTAATTCCGGAGAGCGAAACCTCCCTATTGGAGCTGGAGGTGTTTTTTAAATATATTTTCTAGTTACATGACCGCACGCACACCTCAGTAAGTAAGTAAGTGAGTCAGTTTCTCATTGCTGTCGGTTTACACGTTGTGTGAGTGAAAGGTAACTGATGGCAAATTATGCTAGGCACTTGCACCCCTTGAAGCTGCAAAGACGTAATTGTTTCCTTCTTCGGTTGTCGGCCGGGCCGAAAGTCGGGAATGCTCACGTCTTCCGTTGCCAAAGTTCTAATCAAATATCAACTGAAGGCCTTTTTAGTATCACAACAAGGAAGACGAGCTGAAGTGACATTGGATGATTTTATCAAAAATGTCAAGCAATGGAAACAATGCGAAAACAGTCTGAAAGGAAAAGAGAAGTACGTGTAGGACGATAGAATAAGTGGTGGCTGTGACGGAGTACCGATTGTTCATTGTCTCGTCTGTGCACTGCAGGAACGGGATCTGAATGACCTGGTGAAGAAGTCCAGCGGCCTTCAGGAGGCGACGCAAACACTCTTCGACACTGCCGACGACACCCTGGCCTGCGCTGACATGGTATGTCCTCTGAGTTACTCTGTCTAATAGGGATTTTGCTGGCCAGAAAAAAATCCACTTCAATCAGCTGTGTGGTGTAGATTAGGCTAAAATTAGTGGCGGTCAATTCATATGCCTTGCAAGCTGGTGAATGGTATAATCCCAGCACAAGTTGCTATGTCTAACATAGCTTGTTCGCAATCATCGCTTCAGCGATGAGCGTGTGTAGATAAGCAAGTTGTTTTGTAACATAGCGTGTTCGCAATCATCACTTCAGCGATGGGCGTGTGTCGATAAGTAAGTCAGTATGTAAGTACCGTGAAATCTGTCTAAGACGACCGCTGACGGGACCTTCAAAACCTGGTCTCTGTTACCGGGTGGTCTCCTTGTTCAAGGTCATGTGACTGGAAATAGCATTCATCGGTGCTGGTTTCAGTGGTCTGTTAGAACAGGTGGTCGCCTTGACAGGTTTTACTATAAGTATAAAGTACCGCATTGGCCAAAGCATCACTACACTATGTGATGTGCTATGTGATGTGCAGCCTCTGTTGGTGAAAAGAGTATGCATATATACATGTACGAGAATCCTTCTTTTTTGTTTTGTCCTACCTGTGTGTAGAAATCTCAGTTCCTCCCCCCCCCCCCCCCCCCCCCACACACACACTTAGTAATAACGGTGTGAAAGGCAATTTATTTCTCAGGCCTGGGTATGCAGCAAAAAGCCTAGCACCAGTAGTAATACCGCTGTGTGTGTTTGTGTTCTGCTGTACCACTCAGCTGGTGAACGAGGGAGACGATGAGGACGGAGGGCAGGGCACGTCTTTCCTGCAATCGCGTTCGTTCCGCGCTGCCGCGCTCTCTATTCCCGTGGCAGCGGCCGTTGCTGCCGGTGCTTGCGTATATGCAAGCCGTACGGGATTAATCAGCTGGGCATAATGCGCCAAGCTCAACTTCTGCGACGGCACAGTTGCGTGAGCTGCGAGGTGGATGCGATTCGGGGATTTCCCGGTTTCGCGGCCGTCGCATCGCGCATCCCATCGCAAAAATGCTTCTGTGAATCCAGCTTTATGAAGTAATTGTATTGAGCTACTGCTGCTGTTTTCACTACTGGTGCCGCCACAGTACAATGCATGCTAACGGCTATCTTGAGGTTTGGCTGGCCCGATTTTATGCTGTTGTACTTGTAACCTGGTCCAGGATCCTTTCATTGATGCTGCGCGTAAGGATGTACCCCTGGAATCAACAATCCAGCGCCGTGTGTTGATGCTGTTAGCAACGTGACAGCCGTCACGTCTCGCATTCACCTCAATGCTCCCGTGCAGTTGTTTCAAGACACGGGTGTGTATGTGTGTGTGTGTGTATATGAGAGAGAGAGAGAGAGTGTGTGTGAGTGCGTGAGTGAGTGTGTGGACTGGGCATTGTGTTGTGTTCGTATTTGGGAGAAGAGCCAGCCAGCTTGTTGTAGCCACCTCGTCAATGCATCTACGCTTGTAGTTCAGCTCCGTAGCGTTCTCATTCTTGTGCCCGTTTAGTCTGTACCTGCCCTTGACTCACTGTGCGTGTGTGTGTGTGTGTGTGTGTGTGTACGTGCTGCACATGCGCCTGGTGCCGTGGCATTATTTTAAAAGTGTCATGTATGTACCAGTATATTTTGCTTCGGCAACTGAACAGACGACCTATTGAATTCTCACCGATTGTTTTGCTGCTTTTCTTTTAAAAATCCTGAAGGTGTGTGTGTGTGTGTGTGTGTGGTGTGTGTGTGTGTGTGTGTGTGTTGTACTTGCCACATCTTTCTCTTTCTTCTTTTGCAGCTTTCTTGGTGGCTCTGCAGCTTTCTTTTGCCTCTATTTAACTCGCACAATACACGCACATCACAGTCTCCACTGCTCCAGCCAGGGTGTCGTGATTAATTTGTACGTCTCTCTACCTTCAACCTTGCGTTGTACTTGCTTATGTGACTGCTGTTTCAGAAGGCCAAAGTTTTCGGGGAGACAAGAAATAATGTATATGAACGTAATGAGTAAGGCAAGCTGTGCAACACACACACACACACACACACACACACACACACACACACACACACACACACACCGCTGGCTAAGGTTCTCAAATATCCATAAACGTTTTCGTTGCCATCTCATCAGATGGATTGTACTTGCAAAGCCAAAGGAACGTGTAACACAATGAATGATTATTTATAATTATAAATACTCGAAATGCAGCGAAGGAAAGAAATGCCAATTTCAGCTCTCATTGTGTCACACTGAAATTGCCATTTCTTACTGCATTTTGTGTATCATTAATTTTATTTTATCAATACATATTGTGTTACACGCGTCATTTGGTTTTGCCAGTACAATCCTTCTGATGAGATGGCAACCAACACATGTTTAAAGTGTGCACTTCTGAAGTAGTCAATGCGCAACTCGCCTTACTTGTTACGTGCACGTGACTGTAGGTTGAGAACGGTTTTATTCACAACACCAATTGGGCCAATCCCGTGAAACCATGAAGTAAGAACCAAAGGCTAAGCAAAAAGACAACCCAAATTCGGAAATATATAGAACTGTATACTAGGTAGTGCCAACTGAAAATACTTGCAAGCGTATGAGTGTGAGCTCCAGAGGCAGCTTATTTCAACTCTTGCTGGTCTGTAGTACCAAGAGTACTCTTGGTACTGCACGTACTAGTACTTTGCAGTTTTGCATTCCAAGAGTATTATAAATAATGGAAGTAAGTGTACTGTTCCGAGTCTGGACAGTTCATTGCAAAGTCATGCAGTTCGGCCTGTCACTCTGAGCTGCCTATACATGCACAGTCATGGTACATGTATTATAATTACATGTATAACCTATAAACACTGGTTCAAAACCAGTATTAGATAAACCTTGTTATAGTTCACGCATATTGTTTCGTGCTGTCGATCTAACAATATGTACAATCATGTATTAAAGTCAAAACACATGATCTACATGTACAGTTGTCGGTCATAGCGACTATCGATCTTCGGGTGCTCGGCTGTTCGCATCAGGGAGTCATATGCGACTCCCTGTATGCGACTCCCTGGTTCGCATTGAACATGTTGACCAGTGGTTGACGGGCAGTAAAAAAATTCCCGGATCCGGGCACTCCTGACCCCAGACTCCTGCCTAGCGACTACCGTGCACCTACAGTACAGTAGTACCTCCTCCTCTCTTACCCATCAGGATTCACAAAACCGGGCTTTTCAAAGGGAAATGACTCCAATGATAATTTGAGAGATATACAAAGTGCTTGCACGCATACCATGATTAGAGTTGTGAGCGGCTTGGCAGCATTTTGGTGGCTGAAAAAGCCATCCCAAGCAGGCAAGCTTGACATTTCAATGATGTCATTGCCGTTTACAGTGTGCATGTATCGAGTGCGACCATAACGAGCACTAAGTCATAACCATGATAACGGGGTTATGTACTCTTGCCAGTCTTGGCAGTCTTGCCTTGGTGATGAGCATGATCGTTTACCAATAGGCTTGCTGTAGCCGTTTCTGTTCAGGTCCGAATGCATGCTGCCATTGCTGGGCAGGAAGAAAGACTGCCCGCTACTTGTAGCCCAAGCCCAAGAAGTACAATGTACCATGAAGGCCAAGGCATGATGACGAGGTGCGTGTGGTGCAGCGCTTTGACTTTGAGGTAAAGACAATAAGTGTAGACAAAGTGTAGACATCTCGGATGTCCTTTCTGGGTGTATGATGTTCTGGTCTATTTTTATTACCGGTACTAATACTGTAATAGTGCAGATCTGAGTTCAGCTACTAGCTAGCTACAGTAGTGTAGAGCTGGGCTAGACGTAGAGCTCTCCCGCATGCGCATGTAAGCAGTCAGCATCTCCCCGTTCGCACCCTCCCCCATTGTGACTCGCTCGTGTATATGACTGTAACGATGCAGTCGGTCGGTTAAACTACAATGGTACACCGTACTACACGTATTATTATAACCCAACACAGTGTCCTCAGCCACCTTGTTTCACGCTGTCAATCTAACCATAATCAACGGTACACGTCGTGTACACGTACAAGTCTACATAACAATGTAACAATGTAACACTGGCTTTGGCAAGTCAGGTGAAGAGGTCCTTTGGCACACCTACGTTACGCTTTTAGAGCCAGGAGTCACACGATGCCATACTTCTGACTTTATCGAAAAATTTAGAAGCGAATGCTGTCGTTTACACTAATAGTAATACCAAGAGTCCATAGCCCCTGGCCTTGGGTTAGCGACTTGTAGCCCGTCTCCAGTCCATGATCTACATGTTGGTCTCTCAGTAGACGAACGACTGCCAACACGGACAACAGCTAGCCATGCTAATGATAACCTGGGGGCTAGTAATGCCTATGGCTTGAAATGAATCAAGAGCTCTAGTAGTACGAATCGTGCAACAAGTAGTGTCCGACATCGCCAACACAAACCATCGAAAAGCGTCACACAGCGAAGCCCATCAATGCGTCGTATGTTTCGGCCACTACTCACAACAGTGCCGACCTGACGCACGTGGTGCACCCGTCACCCGGTCAACCCTGCGGTTCGCATGGACGGGTACCACGTGTCGCAGTTGTTGCTTGTATTTTACCCTATTGGAACTACAAAATACAACAACTGATCATGTCTTGTAGCAGCAATAGATCTCTTGTTGGGACTCTCTTTCTGCCCCAGCTTCATGGATCAACGCTACTGCCATGACATGACATCGTCCTCAGTCATCACTGCCTGTCGCCCGCCTGGCCTGGGACCTGAACGAATGTTGTACTTCTTTGCTTTTATAATTATTTTATACCTGGTACACTGTACTTGGCTTTAGTTTTTAGAACTCAATGTGATCACGTGAATCGCGTGCCACAATGACAAATGACGGAAAATTTCACCTCGTGGCGCTGGGAAGTGCATAGGCTAGGCCGACACTGCGGCAGCTCAGGGATAGGCTCGCACTTATGGCTATGCGCTGTTTGTTGTATGCCCGCCGAGCTTGCAAGGACACCGCATGCAGGAGAGTAGCGTGGAAAGACTCGAGAGTGGGCAAGCGCTAGCGCGAGGGACGGCGATACACAACGACCCGATGTCTGACATGATGTTCATCGTGCTCAGAACTGGGGACACGGCACAATACATCTGCTGAGAAGCTGGACGACGGTCGAGACAGACTCTTCTCATTGTGCCGAGCTTCCACACTGAAAGTGAGAAGGAAGGATAATCGCAGTGCGATAGCGCATCAGCGAAATTTCAGCAGCAGAGCTCAGCGGTCGTAATTATTATTCCCCCACTGTGCTCTACTGCCTCTAGGAGTATTACTGACTACACTTCTCTAATTCGTTTTGTGACTGACGGCTCCGTTGAGTCATAGGAACGCCAGGGACCGTTAGCAGTCCCCACAGGACTCGCTGAATTAATTATTTGGAAGGCCCAGAGGAAGACAGAGGATGGCTGCGAAGGCTGGCGACGATGAGGAACTGTTGCGCGAGCCAAGTCCCAAGGAGCTCCGTTCCGGTCGTCGCACGACATCAGCCAAGGTTGAACTGGCGGTCGCCACAACGAACGCACAAAAGAAGACATTCACGCGCTGGCTGAATGCCCAGCTGGTACGGGGCAGGGCGGACGTGAAAGTGGACGACCTGTTCAAGGACCTGCGCAGCGGTGTGATCCTGCAGCGGATGGTTGGTGTGCTGTATCCGGGAGTCAAGCTGCACCGGGAAAAGGGCAAAGGCAAAATGCACCGCATCTCCAATCTGAACACTGTGTTGCAGTACCTGCGCAAGGAAGCCAAAATGAAGCTGATCAATATTGATGCGGAGGACCTGTTCGAAGGTAAGGAGAATTTGACACTCGGCCTGATCTGGATGATCATTCAACATCACCAGCAGAAGGGTGGTTCGGCGAGCGGGAGCCTGAAAAAGTCACTGTTGGAGTGGTGCAAGAACTGCACTGGCGGTTACAGTGGCGTGAACGTCACCGACTTGGCCAAGTCCTGGAGAGATGGCCTGGCGTTCAACGCTCTGCTGCACCACCACAAGCCGGACGTCGTCGACTTTGACTCCCTCGGCCAGAGCGACGCCAACGAGAACCTGCGCAGCGCATTCGAGCTCGGCGAGAAACACTTCAACATCCCGCAGCTGCTCGACCCGGAGGATGTCAATGTCGAGTCGCCGGACGAGAAGTCCATCATCACATACCTGCTCGACGTGCGGAACGAGCTCGAGCCTCTCAAAGTGTCCGGCAGTGCTGCTCCGCCGGCTGAGCCGGTTGCTGAGCCGGTTGCTGAGCCGGTTGCTGAGCCGGTTGCTGAGCCTGTTGTTGAGCTGGTTGTTGAGCAGAATGACTCGGAACAGCAGCAACAGGAACCACAGCAGGAATCGCAACCGCCAGCGGTAGACTCCGGTAATGCCGAGCTGCTTGCCTGGATTGAGGAGCAGAAGCGTCTTGTTGCGCAGCTCGACGGAGAGATCCCGTTCAACGACGTCCAGGCACTGAAGACGGCGCTGGACAGTGCTGGAGATGTCCAAAGTGCAGCCCGTGCGAAAGAGGACAGCGTTGACGCTACTAACTCCGATACACTATCGGCGGAATACCGCACTCTGTTGAGCGATATTGACAACCATCTGGCCTCTCTGCGAGCCGCACTTGCAAGTGCCAACAAGCATTTGGCAACGAAAGCCTCGATTAGCGGCAGCACCGACGATCTCGTGGAGTGGGCTCGTCAGAGAAATCGCGTGTTTGAGAAGGTGAATGACTTGCCAAACAGCTGGAGTGAGCTGTGTAGGCTGAAGGCCGAACTTGAGAAGCATGTGAGCGAGGACAGGCCGAGCAAGGAGAGCAAGAAGACGGATGTGTGCAGTCAAGTTGAAGATCTAGTGTCATCACTGGCGGCCACGGCAAACAGCCAGGAGCTGGTGCATGCCGTGCGCGGTGACCAGGAGCGCCTGGAGAATGCCTGGCAGGACATGGCGCGCCAGCAGCCTGCCTACGCGGCTGCCCTGGACAAGCGCATGGCGGCCCTTCGCCAGAGCGCCATCACGACCATGGACGGTGCTTGTGCTGCATTCAACACTGCGGTCGACGAGCACATTGAATCATTGAATGTGGACGGCATGACTGGAGAGGCGGATGAAGTGCAGAAACGCAAAGCCAAATTCGAGGCACAAGCAGCGGAGATGCTACCTGCTCTGGAGCGGCAACGCTGCCAAGTGCAAAATCAAGCCAAAGAGTATGGCCAGGAAGGCACGCTGGAGAGTCCAAGCGTTTCCCAGTACCACGAGAATGCAGACGCTGCGTGGAGGCGCCTCAAGGAGAAGCGTGCACTCTGCCTGGCCCATCTGGACGAGCGCCTTTCGCGACAAAGCGAGAACCGGCATTCTCTGGAGGCGTGGGTTGCTCAGAAGCAAGCCAGCTTCCAAGCAGACGACGTGGAGAAGCTGAGGCGTGCAGAGTTGGAAGACCGTCTCCATGGATTCGACGGTGCGTACCTCATCCAGGAATTGCCGCCGCGACAAAGCCAGTATGCTGAATTGGCGGAGAAGCCTGGCTCGCCATTGGCCAGCCAATGGGAAGAGCTGCAGCGGAAGCAGACAGCATATCGTGCTGCTATTGTTGCTGCTCTCGATGAGCGAAAGCGTGTCATCGCCGAACTAGCAAACTGGACCGAGTCAAACAAAGCATGTTACAGTGTCCGTCAGTTTCCGTCTGACCGCGCAGCACTGGAGCAGCTACAGTCCGACGCCGAGCTGTTCGGCGTCGCCGACGTGCCGCGAATGGACCAGAAGTTAGCTAATCTTGCTGGCGTGTGCCGGCCCGATGCTGAGGACCTGATGGAAGCCTGGACGCGCCTCGTGGACGGTGTTTATCAGGAGTACAAGGCCGAACTGGCGCGCAGGATACAGTCGCTCGACGATGCCGAGGCACTGCAGAAGTGGTCCAACAGCCAGCGCATCAAGTTCCGCCAGGCAGTGTCCGGCAACAGTCACGAGGAGCTGCAGATGCTTGTCGCCGAGCTGGACAGGCACGAGCAAGGCGAGCTGCAGGAGAAGACACAGCTCAAGGAAACGATGCCCGCTGGCTTGCCAGAGAGTGAGCCGCCGTTTGCAAAGCTCACGGATATGTGGCGTGACATGGAGCAGGCACGTGCTGACTATCGCCGCTCTCTCATGAACGAGCTGGAGAGAACGTCCAATGCAGCAGCAGCAGCAGCAGCAACAGCAGGCCAGAGTGACAAGTTTGGTGAGTGTTGAACCGGGTGTTGTGTGCACATACACACATTTGTGCACGCACACACACACACACACACACACACACACACACACACACACACACACACAAGCACACACACACACACACACACACACACACACACACACACACACACACACACACACACACACACACACACACACACACACACACACAAGCACACACACACACACACAAAGATACACAGTTTTAAAACCGAAAATGAATATGCGCCAAATATTTGTTGACTTACAGTAAGTATCGGGAAGCCCCCCTCCCCCCCCCGTCAGAACCAAAATTCGTATTTTTGTTGACAGTTGGAGTACCGGTATATGACACATGTTAGAGACTGTGATTTTTTGGGCATCTGAAGTCAACATTCCATGCACTTCAACAAAACATCAGATCGAAACAGTTACCCCATAGCCCATTTTTTTCATTTTCCAAAACTGTCTTGCCATGCAAAATGTAACGTACGGGGGCACTCAAGCAGAGTAGGGAGGCACTGCCACCCCCCCCCCCCCCTCCTTTGGCTTGAACCCTGATCTAGCAACATAGCCTGACTTGAATTCATGTTGCATGTATGCGCTCGGTGATTGTGTTGCTGACCCAACAGATGGAGGCAGCAGCCCTGCCATGGAGCCGATTCTGCCACCGGCCGCTATGCGCGACGCCGACGCCACCAGGCCATCATCTCCACCGGCTTCACTAGCACCGTCCAGCGGCGACGGTGGTGGCGGCCACGAGGACTCCGGCGAACAGGACCTTGCCAGCGGCGAAACGACGCCACTGATTTCCAGCCCGCCGGGCAGCCCTGTACGCCGATCGTCGTCGTCCGACAAGCCAGCCGGCAAGAGGACGAACGAAGATGCCTGCTGCTCCTGTTGCCCCTGCTGTACCATTATGTGACCGGTGTGAAGTCCTACGGCCGGGAACGGGCCTCGGTAACGCATGAAGTCCAACGGGCCTTTGAAATTGAGGTTTTGCTGAATGGTACTTTGGATGATGTCACCGGGAGAACTATGAGTCATATCACGGTGTAGTCACGACCTAATGGTTATGACCGTGCCGCCGGGTGACTGGCAAGCTAAGTTAACATTACATGACGGCATTTCGCTTGCCCCTCGTCCATGCCAGTTGTATCTGCCAGCATCCTGCTTCGTATGCCCAATCTGGTATTGTGGTACAGCCTGGGAAAACAGCAGCAGCAGCAGCAGCAATAGCAGTACATGTATCAGATTCTGTAACTAGCGAGTGAACAAGCACAGTTGCAGCTTTGCTTATCTAAGTTGCTAGGCTGTGGCATAGGCAGCGCATTTTGGTATTAATTCCATTCACCGCTCCGCCTTTTTCAAAGTGTCATTCCCACCGAGCCGAATCCCACGGTTCACGTACCCGCACACAGTGCAATGTCATCATCCTGACCTCTGGCTTCAATGCGCTGCTGGTCTTCGGGTCAGGGTGGTTTTACTGATACCTGGTGTTCGCTTGTCATCAAGTTTCCTTGCGTCGCTTTTCACTGTGCACACTCTTGTGTACGTGATTGTTACACTTCTTATAGTGATCACATTTTTTATTTGATTTTTATTACTCTTTTTAATGATAACAAAACTGATTATTTCCCTATCAAATCAACATTCTAAAGCCGCTCGCAGTACCGGTATGATCTAATCTGAAATCCCCCGAATGCGCCGTCGGTGTACGTATAGCAGCAAAAGACACGGGCCGGGGTCACCGTGATGTACTGTACTCTTGGTGGCAGCCATGAACTAACGTTGCCATGGCTAGTTGAAGTAGTTTGTATTATTCTGTGCCCGTATTAAGTGTATAATGTAGTGTACATGTAGTAGTTATGTTATGACTTGTTAAAGGGGCACTCCGGCTTCATTTTCGACGCCGAGTTTTCGATGCCAAGACGAAGGTAGGTGAAAGAGAAGACACCTCGAACAAGAACGAGTCTCCAGAAGCGATCGAGTCGAGCAGGAAGACGACTTTTGAATTTCGGCCGAGCGAGCGCTGATGACGTAATGAGGGATTAGCTTGCCAGTGGAAATGCATCTGCGCACATACATTTCACACACTTTTTGGCCAATTTTCAATCGAAGAAGAGGTTGTTTGCTATGTTCTCCCAACGCTGTGAGCGATCCCGTCTTCTATACCCTTCCAGGTACCCTGAAGGTCCTCCAGAGGAGAATTTATCTCCATCAAAGCGTTGTTGATCCGCTAAATTCGTCTCGAGACATATTCACCCAGTGCAGTGCTGATAAATGTAGAATGTTGAATCTGTGATAATTGTCGACGATGGAGAGAGAGGCTGATAGCCGCTGTCGCAGGGAGAGTGAAGCTGCTGGAAGTAACAACAGGGAGCCCGTTTGTATCACCTGAACAACCAGACTTCAAAGCAGCTTCACCAAATCGGAGGGTGCCTCGTTGCTTATCGTGAATATTACACCGGCATGAATTACTACAAGTATACTGGTGAGTTTTTATCTTGTTTCTGTTCGTATGCTAGTACCCTGGCCTGGAGTTCTCGTTAGCAAATTCCTATTCCCTGGCGTTTTCTAAACATTCCGTGTAGGACTGAATACGTGATCAAGTATTCCGATTTGGGTAAATGTGGAATTTGGACATGTATTTTATTAAAAAAATTCTTTCCCAAATAGAGCGTTTGTAGAGAAATGGTTGCCCAAATACAACAAAATTTATTCTGCAGTTCTACAACTAACTTGTACTGAAATCCAGTCGAAGTAAAAATGATTCTTCATGACAGTTGGGGTCAATGAAATCTGATCCAGGCATAACGAATGGTGACGCCTGCCACCCCGGGAATGAATGCCCATTTGGTGGGGGATACCAAAGTACTCGAAAGTAGTGCGTGTTTCAATGTGGCATGGAAGTTTTATATGATCTCTGGTCAATGCAACATACAATAGCCATCATGAATTGCAGGCCTCGAACGCAACTCCGACCAGAATTGGCAGTTCCCTAAGTTAGATGCTTTATAATTCCATGGCCCCAGCTGTAGTTATAGAGGGTTTTTTGCACATTATTCTTATAGTCGATAGATTTATACTGATGGCCACAAACAACGGCAGTTCAAACTTCACTGATGTGTTCATGAGCTGAGAGATTTCTCTCCACTATTTCTGTTGTGCACACAGGTTTGTCCAATATGCATTGACCGTATTGGGTATGGTACCTGCTCTGAGAAGGGAATCGCTGGAGCCACAGTCCAACTATACAGGCTTTCAAGAAACAGAGAGGAGCCATCTTTGCAAGCTGATACCTGATGTGTACCGACAGAATTCTCACGAGATACCTTACAGACTACGCCTGGTGTATACTTCATAGTACTCCTTCGACTACTGTCTAGAATCAAGTCGACTGAAGCAAGTTCAAACAACTCTGGCTTCAAACGAGCCGTCGATTAGACAAACAAAACATTCTCTCATATACTAGAGCACTCTGACAACTCACGACCTATTCCTAACGATTGCCACCGCTTATAAATATGTAGAGTACTGATTGGAATGTGCTCACAATCTCAACAATCCAGTGCTATAATTATTTGAACTATGTGTTCCTTCCATAAATGTTGTATCCACATATAATCCACAGTGCTGCAAAGTTTCAGAGTTCTCAGGGTATCAAACAAAATTATTTCAAATACAGTGAAATAGTTCGTGGACATTATAGCGTAACTTGTAGTTCCCTGGTCCTTTTCTTTGCTATAAATTAATCCTTTGCTCTCTAGCCACCGGTGAGTCCAACAGTGAAATTGTTAGTTCATATGTATGTGGGTATGTGGGGGGGGGGGGGGGGTGAACATATTTCTATATAAGGGACCTGCAACTGTAATACCACAGTACAGTAGATAGCAAATATGTAGAAAACAGAAATGCATGTTCCCATCATTGTACATGGACGGGCGCAGCAGGCCGAAGCTATAAGCCAGAACAGGATTTACAATCGCCTAGAGATACTTGAGCTTTTCCAGTATTCTCCGTGAGCTGTCCCATTCCACAATGGTTCATGCCACCATTATTTCTGGTAGTATCCATGTGCATAATTCCAAGAACATCTCGGATTCTTCAACAATTTGTGCCACGGCAAAAGACAACGCTTGACTCGGTCACTGGGGCTGTCAAACTTCACATCACAAATGAACTTCAATTTCTCATCTGGTTCAAGTATATGTACTGCCATGACTTGACCATGCTTCATCCACAGCTGGGCGAAGATTGTGGCGTTGAATTCCATAGCGCACCTTCTTGCTGCCATGCAGGAATATGTTGAGAGAAGTGAACATATTTTTACTAAAAAAACAACAGCCACTGAAGAGGATAGCATTAGCAATAGCCTTGGGTGAATTTCCTGCAGGTACACGTTGTTGGTAGGTCTACTGGTCGGTCTCCGTATTGTCAAGTTCAGAAATCACCTGTACTACACATCTTGTAGAAGGGATCCTGATCGAATAATTCTCTGATCATAAAATTCACTAAACTGAGGGCGAGACAAATAGTCAGTACTCCCCGATTCCGTCTAGCTGCTTTGATCAAGTGATGCTAACAAGCTCCCCGTTGTTACTTCCAGCAGCTTCACTTTCCCTGCGACAGCGGCTATCAACCGTTCTGTCCATCGTCGACAATTATCACAGATTCAACATTCTACATTTGTCAGCACTGCACTGGGTGAATATGTCTCGAGACGAATTTAGCGGATCAACAACGCTTTGCTGGAGATAAATTCTCCTCTGGAGGACCTTCAGGGTACCTGGAAGGGTATAGAAGACGGGATCGCTCACGATGTTGAGAGAACATAGAAAACAACCTCCTCTTCGATTGAAAATTGGCCAAAAAGTGTGTGAAATGTATGTGCGCAGATGCATTTCCACTGGCAAGCTAATCCCTCATTACGTCATCAGCGCTCGCTCGGCCGAAATTCAAAAGTCGTCTTCCTGCTCGACTCGATCGCTTCTGGAGACTCGTTCTTGTTCGAGGGGTCTTCTCTTTCACCAACCTTCGTCTTGGCATCGAAAACTCGGCGTCGAAAATGAAGCCGGAGTGCCCCTTTAGCACTACTATACTGTTGAATGAAATCCGATCAAGCCGCCGCAGTCACATGGTCAATGCCACGCAGTGTGCTGTGCAGCCCTGCACTGTAGACCTGCGAACACTGGGCGGCGTGAACCGGGTGCTGGATTGGCTAACTTGACTTATGCAATCAGATTTCATTGAGCAGCACTGTAGTATCAACCGGTGGTTACTGCAAAACCGGGAATTTTCGGTGGTGTAATATTTCGGTAGTTCCCAAAATCAACGATTCGGTACCACGAAAATTTCGGTAAACCAGTTTTCCAGATCCAAAAATGCATTTTTGCACACTGTATGGCATGGCTTGTTGAATCCTAGGTCGAGTTTTATTTTAATTAACCGAAAATAAATCTCCACCGAAATTTTCTGGTTTTACAGTACATGTATATTCTCTTGCTACACTTGCACAATAGTACTGTATGCCGGATATCTATACATGACACTATAGTACACTGTACATGAGATAATTGGGGGGGGGGGGGGGCAATTTCGTGAGACCGAGGTAAAGACGCGGCCCGGCGGCTGCATGCAATGCATTTACTTGTATTATCGTATACTAGTACACGGGTAAAAGTTATTAGACTTGACGAGGAAAGTTTGGCAAAGGTGGAGTCCGTGGATATCAGATCTGTCATGTCCAAGGCTATTCCAAACATGACATATTTGACAGTATTATGCTAACGGACCATTAAATACTTGGATTGTATTACAATTACTTGAGCATTGATTCCTCAGACCTCTCTCATCATGCACAGGCAAGGACATCACATACGGTATGTCCAAGATCCAAGTCCATAGCTAGCGTGCACACGCACAGATAGCGAGTTATGCCTTATGGACTCGACTTCGCGAATTATTTCGCTAGCGCTAGCGCGCATGCATGCAGTAGTAATTTCGACCCACGTGTCTTTCACGTGTGTGATGATCAGAGCGCTTGCTTTTTGATTTCCTTGACATCTGGACAATAATCATGAAGAGATGAAAATGTAGGCCACTTTTTATTTTTTGAATCTGCAGTAACTGTTGTTTCACTCATTATACTAGCTCTTGCTGTCAGTGAGTTTTGTCTCGACCTCAATGAATGCGGAGCACCAGTAGTAGTATACAAGGTGCTCTGGAATCTCAGTTCGTGTATCAAGGAGGTGACGTGTGAATGACCTAAAGGGGCCTGTACTGCTGCTGCGAGTTGTGGCCACTCAATTATTTGAACCAGCTCCCTCCAAGGAATTTGTTGTTTCATTGGGTGTAGCTATTTTGAGGTGAGAACAGAATGCACTGTACTATGTACACCATCCAAAGTATTGGTCTGCTCACCCAATGATACCCATACTGCGACTTACTGTGTTTATAATATCTAGTACAATTTTAATAAGTAAAGAGAAAGCACCAATAAGTTACGAGTCAGTATGGGTTACCTTGGTGGACTGTTAGTCATAACTAGTAACTTATAGGTCCTTTCTCTTTACTTGTAATATTGGTTCACCATCCGAGTTTACAATTACATAATATTAGTCCCGTAGCTATGCCAAAGATGTTACTGAAGTAACGTCTGGCGCTAGCCAGGGTCCACACAGCTTTTTATACATACATGTACGACACTTGATAATGGTGTTGAACAATGTGGTGCTCCCAGCACCGTACACATTCGTGATTTTGGTGCTGTACGCAAAGTGTGCTTGGCACCACACTGGCATCATCACTCGACGTCAGTGCAACAGTCCGTTGCCCCTTGGTCACAGTCAGGGAGAATATTTCGAGAAGTATGTCGCTGCTCAGCTACAGGCATTGCAACTTCGGATGGTTCTCTGCAAGCGTGACGCCGACATCCTCCAGCTTGATCATGGGAATGCGCTGTGCAGGAAAGCAAGAGTACATGAAAACCAGAGTGCAGCTCGGATGGGTTGCTGTCACGGCGAAATTCCGTGATTGCATTATTTTAGTGATGTACTAGTAGTGCGTACACGCAGGATTCCAGCAGGTCTATTTCTGCACAACTGCAGCTCAGTTGTACGCACTGCGCCATTTCCCGCCGCTTATCTGCACCAACTATGATATCCCGGAACTTCGCCGGGTTTCATGTACTCTTGCTGAGGGCTATCACCCTTACCCATTACCATGGTGACTCGGTCACTCCAGCATGTCATTTGATGTGTGGAGTCGACGAAGAGCACTGGCGTTGTGATCGCTCTCGCACATGACCGCTATAGTTTTTCCTTTAATATATTTGTGTGCCTGTAGTCGATCTCATGTAATACGGCAACACTGCCTATTTGTTCTTTGACATTAAATAAACCAATCCAATCCAAAAAACAGTGCTGGCAAGTTCCTAGTACAGTAATCTGATTGCCTGAGCGTGATTTTCCGCCCCGCAGCAGTTCGCATCCCAGTGTTCGCGGGTCCAGGGCTGCACAGCGCCCGCCACTTACCTGACTCGTCCCATTGGATTCCATTGAGGAGCTGTACATGTAGCTGCAGGAGAAGCTGCAGGAGAAGTTGTATTTTTTTGTATTTTCTAATATGGTGTGAGGGGAGCCTAGCTGAAACTCACTCTACACTTCAATGCATGCAGCGCCGGTCACCCGTTTGTGCTACGCTCGGAGGATCATATCATTTGGGGTGGGTGCACTCGCCTCGGTCCAGTTCAGAAGTCCTCACTGTCTTTCGTGCTACTGTTGTTCTGCTGCTGCTGATGTTGCTGCTGCTGCTGTACAGTGGCATTAGTGGAGGAAAGAAGACATTAGCTTGCAATGGCGGAGGCCGAGGATGAAATCATTGAGAGCATTGCCCTTGCTGAGAGTCTCACCCTCACGGAACGCCCGCATGATGAAACCGTCGAGAGCATTGCCATGGCTGAGAGCCACACCCTCGCAGAGAGGCCACACAATGACCTGGAGGAGTTCCGCCGTGAGTGGCGTCAGGAGGTGGAGTCGCGCCACCGTGGCGGCAAGACTGCTGCACGAGGTGAGATCTTTTGCTCGGCAGTGGTGCCACACGGGCCCACGCTCACGGGATAACACCGCATACCGTAGTGCCTTGTATTAAAGCCTGTTTTTCAAGATACACTGTCGACACATATTCGTGACATAAGCCTGGTTTTAGTGCTGACACACATAGAAACACCTGGTTTGAATAGAAGACTGATGCGAATAGAAGCCTAGCCCTGACATCGGCTTTTACAGGAATAAGCCCGGCTTTAGTGCGCGGCATTACGGTATCTCTCCTGCTTTCCTCACCTCTGTAAATCAGTAGATCTGACCGTGAGCTGTGGGTAGTGTTACCCTATACATAGTGCATTCACTACCAGGTTTCTTCCATTAACAATTTGAAATGTCTTCGTCCAAAGTGGGGGTGTACCACAGAGGAAGGCCTGGCTGGACAGTCCGAATTCATTCAGTGTTCATTGAGGCCGAGGGAGGGGATTTGATTTGTGAAATAAATTCAAATAATTCAAATAATCCAGACAGGTGGTTGTCACTGTATGCTCTGCACATACACGGTGACATGCTAAGTGAAGTGCATGCCTACATGTCTTCCGGTTGTTTCTGTTGCAGGTCAGGACGGTGCAAAGGCAACTGCCGATCGTGTGCCTGCGGCTACAACTACAGCCACTCTCCCAGCAGCAGCAGCAGCAGCAGCGTCGGCATCGAGCGTCACCGCCTCGCAGGCGCAAGCGACCGCAAACGACCCCGTCGAGCCTGCTGCAGCGGACAGACACGTTGACGCTGCGGAGGTGGACAGCTCAGCTGCATGTACAGCCGGCAGCACATCGCCATCGGCCAGTTGCCCAGCAAAGGACGCCTGCCCCACGCAAGAAGTTCAAGAACAGACCAGTGGTGAAGGTGAAGAGGCATCGGCTGCTGTAGCAGCAGCATCGGCACAGTCCGCGCCTTCTGGCCACCACGATGCAGCCTCAGTGCATTCTGGAAGGGAAATCCCCAGTGACTCTGATGGTGACACGGACGGTGAGCAGGACATCATGCATGGTGTAGGATGCACAAGAGCAATCTGAGGCTGTTTGGCTGTGGCTTCAAGTGTTATACACAAAACGTGACAAAAGCGATCCCTTGTGTGTGGTTTCATGTATTATACACCAAAGTGATTGAGAGAGAGAGGGCTGTGGCATCAAATTTACACTCACCAGAGCGATCATCAGATAGCATTGGCTATTAGGTGTTAGTGAAAGAACCAGCCTAGATATCCGTAGCTATTGTGTGCATGTGTGTGTGTGGGGGGGGGGGGATGCTACGCGTATGTGTGAATGTGACGGTGGCAATGGATCCACACTCGTGGGCTTGCATAGTGTCGGCATTGGAACAGCATTCTACAGACCTCCATGCCGATGATTTACTCCTGTGCTGCAGATGGTGAACCACTACCGCGAGGCGTTACGGTATCAGAAAGCTCGACTTCATGGTGAGTGCTCATCAGGTGTGCAATTTGAAACTTGGGTATTGAGCCAATAATAAAAGTAGAAAGGAAAAGGACATATGGAAACGAGTTAAGAGTAACTCTCCACCACTGTACCTAGATACTATATACAGTCAGAAAGTGCAACAACTAGGCACAAAACTGACAGAGTACTGAGACATTCGACGTCCTGACACCTAGCTTCAACACATCTCCGTAGCGCTAACCGACAGCCTTCCAACTTGGAAGGTTCAAGATTATGGAAAGACCAAAGAGGGGAAGGCAAGCGCAACGAAAACGAGCACAAGCTACAGTCCCATGGCACAGCCGTCACGAACCATACGGCGAAACGTACGTCGTGTGAAACAACTTGTTTTGTAGTCAACTAGTCCATCACAATGTCATGCATGAGGAGTACTGTAGGAGTTTAGATTTCGGCTTGTACAATTCGTTCTCGCAAAGCTTCCCCCTTCTTAACTTATCTTTGACATTTTTGACCCACCCAAGTTGGGTGGTGTGCTGCTTTGCTGCTTCGAATTGTAGTTAGACCGCTTTGTCAAATCACCTACTGGTCTCGTCATCGTCCAGTGACAATCGACATTCTTTGTTCCGTTGGGACTGTAGCTTTTGCTCGTTTTCGTTGCGCTTGCCTTCCCCTCTTTGGTCTTTCCATAATCTTGAACCTTCCAAGTTGGAAGGCTGTCGGTTAGCGCTACGGAGATGTGTTGAAGCTAGGTGTCAGGACGTCGAATGTCTCAGTACTCTGTCAGTTTTGTGCCTAGTTGTTGCACTTTCTGACTGTATATAGTATCTAGGTACAGTGGTGGAGAGTTACTCTTAACTCGTTTCCATATGTCCTTTTCCTTTCTACTTCATGGTGAGTGTTTTTCTTTTCATGCCCTGTCTGGTCTGGCTGGTGAATCCTATTTTGTTACAAACCAAAGACTGTGTCAATAGTGCACCCCCCCCCCCCCCCCCCCCCAATGCACGTGTAGTCTTTCCTTGCCGTTCTGGGAAATTCCAAACCCCATTCCAGTTTCTAGCTTCTAACAGCTTTGCATCCAATTGCCATTTGCAGCATTGGTAAGGAGTG